GTGTTGTTTTCTATTTTCATTGATTGCTCTCTGTTGTCACGACTTTGTGAGTACGTGCGACGTTGTATATGTGCGCACGCATGTTTTTACGGCGCTCATTCTTCTTTGTTACGTTAAAATGATACATACGTTACCGAGACATACGTTACCATAGAAGTATATATATTGATGCATCTTTGAAGATCTACATACGTTACCGATACATACCGAGACATAAGTGTCGGTCCACAAAACGAAAGGCAACCAAAGAAAATAGAATAAATAAATATTTACACGCTTCATGGTAACGTATGTATCGGTAACGTATGTATCATTTTAACGTAACAAAGAAGAATGAGCGACGTAATAACAAGCGTGCGTAAAATTGATATGCATTGTTACAGTGACTCACCGGCGCAGGGGCGGACGGAAGCCGTCGTCTGGGTCTCTTGGAAGACGATCAAAATTTTCCAAGTTTACATTGACTGTCATCTAATTTTTTTCTGTCGGAAATTGGTCAAAAGTAGAGGATGGTTCAACAAAGATAATTTGGAAGACTGTTAGAAAATGCCTCTCATGGGTCAAAATAGCTTTTCCGCGTTTCTTATATGTAAATTAAATAACTATATAAAAGTGCAACAAAATTAAGCACATTTAGAGCAAAAAATTCCTTTTCGTTGAATTGTTCACCACTCCACGTGCTTCTGCTTTTAAGCTGCGTCTCCGTTTATCGCCAATTTAACCGGTTTTTAAATGTTTGGTGTAACGTTGAAAACAAGAGTGGCGTGTTAATCTGTTAAACTGATTGCATTTACCGAGAGGCCCAGCGGACTTACATGGACAAATTTGACTTCGTAATTTTGTCCATGTATAGAATGAATCAAAGCTCAAAGATTGAACTGATTACAGACTAAAGAAATAAATAGTGTACGCCATATATTATTAACAAAATTTTATTACTCTTAATTCATGCACCAATACATTTGAAGATCTAGCATCCCTGCAAGGCGCCAGTAATGCCACAATAAGTACATGTACATCTTATCACTGCGGTGTTTATAGCCTGCGTAACGTTCTATACCAATCCTTCACGTACTGACGACTTCTGCCATATACAACATTAACGAAACGCATCGCCAGCATATATAATAATAACTTAATTAATTCTATACAATTAAATCTTAGTCTTCATGGTCAACTCCCAGCATTAATATTTTCAGTAATACAACCATTAAATCTGCACATTTTTCACCTATAATATCAGTCCTCCGCTATGAACCACACCTTAAAATCAATGCATAACGCAAGCTTTTTCTCCAGCCACGTGGGAGAAGTATAAGGCCGCGTTCACAGCCAGTTGATCCGCGGATGAACTAGTCCGCGGATCAAATAAGGCGCGCACCCGACAATGGATTCCAGCTTCCATCACGCGCCGTGGCTGTGAACGCGGCCTTATCGTAGCCTTCTAGAAAACGATAATGCCATGTGACCATATTTACGAGGATCAACACTTGCATAAAGAACTTAAATAAAAAGAATAATAACTTGACTTAAAGCATTTCACCAATTTTGGTTAAAATATTGAATTATATCACAAAAAAAAGGCTGTATGGAAGCCGTCGTATCACACTGTTTCAAGTTTGTTGGTACATGTTGAACACTTCCATTAAGAAAATAATTGTGGAGGATTTTAAGTGTACTACATGTAGTTATTCTTGGATCATTGCCATAACAATTCATATATTTTATAAAATCCTCTTACATTTGGTAACAATACCTTGTTTGACATGAATATTTATTATTGTAATATACTTTGTGATAACAACTAATTTCAATATCTTTATAAACTGGCATGTTTTCTTTTTTACTCTTTGTTATCAATACTCAAACTGATTTCAGATAAAATAAATATTCTCTTATACAATAACACAATAAAGATATTATAAATATTCTCTTATACAATAACACAATATAGATATAATAAATATTTTCTTATTCTGAAAGCAATTACTTGTTTGTTATAATTTCAGTATTGACTTTTGTCAGTCAAAAATTCATAATTTCAGTATATTGTGTTAATGACTGACTTTAATCAGTCAAAATTCATAAACTAACACATTTTCTCATTTACGCATAAATGAAAATACTTGAACTGATTTTTGGTGTTATATAATTAATTGTCTTTAATCTTTGACATTATACCTTGTTTGGTCTATACATTTCTAATTTTAATGCATTTGTGGTGATAACTTATTCCTATAACTTATAATCCATAAATCCGCACGTTTTTTATTTCACTTTCTGTTTTTGACACATGTACTCAATCTCATTGTAGATATAATAAATATTCTCTTATCTTTGATGACAATACACTGTTTGGTCTAAATATTTCAAATTTCAATGCATTTTGTGGTTACAACTAATTTCAGCACTTTATAATTTGTAAACTAGCATATTTTCTTATCTGTTTTAAGCTTTAATTAATCAATATGCTAATTTTTTGTGCCTATACACAAGCTGGAGAATTTCAACTAGTTTCTCTCTTTATTTTAAGTTGAAAACATAAGTTTATATTTGTTTCAACTCTCATTTTCTTACCAAATTTAATTCTAATTAAAAAAATATTTTGCTCATCTTTTCTCTTGGCATACCTACAATATTGTTTTGTTTCTATTCTAAACGATTTTGCCAAGGGTCAAAATAAACATATTACCTTCCATTAAATACAATATAATTCTTTTCTCAACAGATCCTTTCTTAAAATACACTGTGTAATATCAGGATCTTAATTATTATCTTTTAAATTCAAAATTCTCAAAAATAATTTAAAGGGATAATAACTCTTCGTATGAGATCTATATTTCACAATAAAACCATTGTGCATAACTCATAGAAATATAATATATTCTGTTTTACCACAAAAACGGCAGTTATAGCTATTATTCTGATATCTGAGCTCGTCTTTAGACCACGTGACCTCCACTGATGGCTATACTCTGTTAAAATCTCTTAAGAGATTTTAACAAAAAACCAAACTTTTTAGAAAAAAACCAGGGACTAACTTTGAATGTAAAAATGGATTCATTAACCATTGGTAAGTATGGGAAAATTGTTGTTTACTCCAGGAAAATTCATTTTTTTGCTGAAACGAAGAGTTATTATCCTTTTAATTTTTGCAGCCATTATTTGAACATCCCTATTTTCCTATTCCTTTCAGCTTAACTAATACATGAAATAACATATCGCTTTTTATTTAACATGGCTTCGGGGTGTTCCAATAGTACCATTAATTTTATCAATCTCAGACTATATTCCAGTAACTATCTACCTAGTGAATATATCAAGAAATTCAAAGGTGGTAATCAAATTACTTTATACCTTTTAAAAATTTAGATTAAGAGACTGATGGTGAATAAGTTTAAAAAAATGTTTTATTCTTTACCTTTAATCAAGAAGCTTTTTGAATTTTGAACTATATACATTTTTTTCATCAAATTCCATAACTCATATTTAAAACCTCATTGAACCTTCATCTACATAATTTTTATCAAATTCCATAACTACACCATGGAACCTTTTTGAACTTTGAACTACATAGTTTCCATAAAATTACAAAATTAAAATTAAAATCTTCTGTGAATCTTGCACGGATATTGTTTGTTTCTGTTTGATCTTCATTGGGCTTCTATAATGGGTTTTCAAAGCCCTATACCTAATCTTTTTATCTGTACAGGTGTAAGTTGTTCTTGTACATCATAGATCTCCAAAGAAGCCCATCTCATTCCATTCTTTTATCTCCTACGGCTTCCGCTACTGCAGTCTTAATTGTATCAGACATTTCAGCCAGTTGTACAATGTATTTGTTGCTGTACATGATGCTGTGGATGTTATGGCTGATTTCATCTAGACTTCTGTTTGCTACTTTGCAATGAGTTCTTTTTGCTTCATCTCCCTGTCCACTTGTGTCTTGAAGGGACAGTGAGGAAGTGACTGCTGATGTCGCCCTTCGCTTTGTGTCTTTATTCTCCACAGTTGTCGGAGTTAAAAAAGTTAAGAAAAGTCAACTTATAAGGCCAATTGCAGGTTTATATCCACCCTCTTATAAGTCTTCAGTTTTCTGATGTTCATGAGAATTGCTATAATTGCTTCCTCTTGAGCGTGTTGTGAGTCTTTTTCAAAGCCCTAAAATGCTTCTCTTTATTTGAAAGTTGTTCATGTACTTTATGGATCTCCAAAGAAGCTATCGCATTTTTCTTGAAGTTCCAGTCTTATATCTCCTAGGGCTTCTGTTCACAGTCTTTATTGTGTTAGACATTTCAGCCAGTTGTGTTTGTTACTCTACATAACATTTTCTTGATGTTGTACTGTAGATGTTATGGCTTACTGGTACATGTATTTCAGCCAGACAGCTACTTGCTAATTTGCAGGGAGTTCTTTTTGCTTTATCTCCCTGTCCATTTGTGGCTTAGTGGAACTAAAAGGACATGGCTGTTGACGTTGCCCTTGTCTTTGTGTTATTACTCCCCATAGTTGACAGTAGTAAAATAGTTAAGATAAGTCAACTTTCAAGGCCAATTGCTGGTTTATCAGCTCTATACTAATTCTTCAGTGACTTGTCATGTTCACAAGCACATACAATCTTAACTGATGACAGTGTGCTTTGTAGTGAAAAACTGCACAAAAACTACTATATTCTAGACAATCAAACTTGCCTCTATGGCCTTGCTTGCTTTGAACTACATAATTTTCATCATATGTCATAAATACAAAGTAGAACCTATTTGAACCTTGAATTACATAATTTTCATCAAATCCCGTAACTACAATTTAGAACCTCACTGAACTACATAATTTTGAATAAATTCCAAAACTACAATTTAGCACATACACCACTGGACCTTAAACTAAATATAATAACTTTCATCAATTCAAATTCCATAACTTTACAATTAAGCACAACAAATAATAATCTATATGTGAAAATCCATATTATAGTGATTCTATAAATGACTTTTCCATTCTGATGAAATAATTTTATCCAAAATAGAAAAGCTAATTTCCATGTGTGACAAAATAATTGCAGCACAGCTGCCATATTTTTTATACAAAATCCAAATTTATACAATAATTTAATAATCAGAAGGCAATAAAATAAAAAATAAGTCTGTTGGAAGAGAGAGCTCAGCGTTTGCGGAGAACTCTTGGCCCTACTCTGGGGCGACTGGCCTTGTTCATGGCACACCCATTTACCACTGCATCCTGCATGCTCGCTGGTGGATTCGTGGTGGCCTGCCTCAGAGCTTCTATACTCTGCCTGATGTCAATCCTGGGGCGTACTCTCCTGCTGGTCAAGTGCAAAGTGGACCCTGGCTTTGGTGTGGGGGGTGGAGCAGGAGTGAACTTGGGACTGAAATCAAAAGAACACACTTGAAAAAAAAGCTCCTTTTTAAAGCTCATGAAGAAAAATACAATTTTTTTTACATTTTACCAGATGTTTTATCACCATAAGAAGTAGATTTTTAATTTTTTACAAATGAATAAATGGACACAGTTATCTTTTGTTTGTTTTATCACACTTATTAGTTTGTGGTTTTACCAACTTTTATTCATGAAATATGGCAAACTTAAAGGTGGAAATAACAACTACTTTCCTTCCTACAAACATAAATATATTTCTTATATTAAAATAATGTATTACGAAATGATGGCGTTCATCTCCAGTTCAAGGCTTGCTCCTTTGACAAGTGGTTTCACAGTTGGACTAATACTGGTGCCACTCAGTGTGATGAGAGGGCGGACCATGCTGGCCCGGCGGAGTGGGGCCTTCTGAGGAGCAACGCTAGGTTTACAGGTTGTAGGCCTGTGTGGAACATGGGGCACTGGGGCCTACAATGACAGTAACAATAATAACAATAATAGTGACAGTAACAATATAATAATAACTGTGACAATAACAATAATAGTGACAGTAACAATATAATAATAACTGTGACAATAACAATAAAAGTGATGACAATTAACAATAAGAAATTTAAATGAAGGTTATTAAATATCTAGTAGGGATAACATATGCCAAAATTTGTGGTAAAGCTCTTTCTGGGCTGAGGGTTTGCTAACAGACGATCGCTTTCACAGACTCGTCATTTAGTGCTCAATAAACTTATTATTATTATTATTAAAAGAAAGTTAAGAAACCTTCAAAAGACAGAAATCCCAAAAACAGTCTCTAAAACATACTTTAAAAGCAATCCTGGACTCCCTGGGAGTCAAGTCAAGAAGCCCTGCCTTGTACAATGGGTTGTCTAGAATAGGAAACAAACAATTGGTACAACAACTTATATATCTGCTACATCTCAAGCTGGTAAGACGTGTGTGTGTTCATCTGTGTGTGCATGGGTGGTTGTGTTCAAGAGTGTGTGTGTGACTGTGTGTGTGTGTGTGTATAAGTGTATTCATGTTTTTTTTTCGTGTGTGTGTGTGTGTGTGTGTATGTGTGTGTGTGTGTGTGTGAGTGAGTGAAAATTACTCAAATTTTAATTTCCAGTCCACTTAGTACCCTTATATAAACATATGCAAGAAACTAATAAGAATCCATCACTCAAACAGTTAAATCAAATTTTGGATTACAAAAGTTCACACTAACAAATTACATCTACCCGGTACACCTATACTGACCATGGCCAGGTACCCTTGACCTCAATTTGACAACTTCCACTGATTCGTGAGAGGTGTTTCTACGCAGAACAACGGTGGAAGAATCCCTTTTCAGCTGCTCAGTACGGAGATTACTGGCAGTGTTGGCCATACATGGAAAAGGGAACTCATCCTCCTCTTCCTGGTGCTGTCAAGAGAAATATGTGCTTTTAGACCAAATAAATAAATAAATAAATAAAAATAAACAAACAAAAACTAATTAAATAAATATTAAAAAGATAAATAGATAAATAAATGTATCAATAAATAAAAACAAACATGTCAAATGAATTAAAAGAAAATAAAAATGACACATTTGCATTAAAATAAATTCTGAATCGTGTTCATTCACTTCTAAGCAAACTCACTGGAGATGGAGTTCCTGCCATACTGCAGGGAGACTCCGGCTTGCCAGTGAACCAAGGATGCTGCAGAACATCCTTCAGGGATGGACGGCGAGAAGGATCAGAGGCTAGCATCTTACGCACAAGCCTAATGAGCTCTTTGAATAGGTGAAGAGAACACAAAGAGGACAGAAAATAAGAAGCGAGAAAAAAATAAATAAGCAGTACAAAAGAGAGGAGATTAATCATTATTATAATGAATTTTTAAAAGAATTAAAAAAAAAACAATTCAGAATATAATCATTCAGAAGAATGTTGCAAAAAGTACAAGGAAAAGATAGCTAGAAGTCCAAGATAAAAAGAGAAAAATGGAGAGTACAGAAACTACCAGTAGTTCCTATAGTAACTACAAACTAGCAGATGTCACAGCAAAATTGTCACATGCACTTCTCTCATGCTTTTTACTTAAAAGTATGTTTATAAAAAGTGTTTTTACAGTATGCATTCCAGCAAATATCAGTATGCCATCCATACATGCAAATATATCAATAGGGGACCCAGGGGGTGGGGAAGCAAAGGGGGCACAGCAGGCTCCTACCTTTGGAGTTACTCCAATCCTCACCCCCCTCCTAGCCCCCAAAAATAAAGAGTAATGATTTCACTTCCCTATGCCTTACACATGATTTTAGTAAAAATGACCCAATCTATTATTTTAAGCAATTTTAGATCTAGAAAGGCAAGACAATCTTTATCCTTTTGCCTCCCCCCCCCCACTCCTCCCCCTTTTGTTCAACAAAGCCTTGGGTCAGTTAATGTGTACCTACCTTTGGACATTCCCTTTGCAAAAGTTAGTCTGCTCATTGCCATGTCTTCAATAAGGTCTTCCATATTAGGCTTGTAGAATGGCAGTCTGCCGGTGGTCATGGCATAGAGCACGACACCACTGGAATGGATGTAATCAGTGGTATATATGTAAAAGATAATGATAGTTATAAATTTAAATCAATAAAATAGTGACAGATGCATGAAGAGGATTTACATGATGATTAAGATGATGCTGATACACCTGTATACACAGGTTAGGCTGGTGGTGAGAGTCAAACCTACATTAACAGTTGATTTAAACAACACACCACAGGCACATCACGGATTTTAAAACATCCAAAGTACTAACAGTGGTCCAATTGGCTTTGCATTAAGAGAATTTTAAAAACTTCAAACTAATAATTTAATGCTAGACAGTTCTTTTCTTTACTAGTTCTATTAACAGCCTTAAATAAAAACATTTAAATTCTGAGACAGTCTAATGCTTGACATACAGGCTCCAAATATCAGCTTTTCTGGCGTCATGCTTTTCATTCTTCAATACTTCTGGTGCCATGAAGTAGGGGTCGCCTTGATATCCAGTAAACAAGGGTCTTTTCCCATACTTAAAGAAGGCAATGTTCCCAAAGCCTGGCCACACATTATGAAAATAAAAGAAAGCATAAAGCATGATGAAGATTAATTTTTATAAAGAAATAAATGAATAATTACCATTATAATAAACATATGAATATTCTTAGTAACAATAGACCCCTGTAAAAACATGATCATATCCCTTAATTATTATTGTTTTAGTAATCAAGTTTGAGTTTTAATAGTGATTAATATCATTGTTACAACCCTGACTGAAAGAGCCCCCCGAGTCCAACAATCTTACAGAGTCACCCACTGTAATAATTATAAAATGCAAATTTTAACCAAGCTGCAATTTTTATAATTCCTTCGACTAGTAAAACAGTGATATTTTTCCTACTACAGGAAATGGGATACATTTCATTGGAATTTATGATTATTAAAAAAATCGCCCAAGTCATAAGAAAACAAACTTACTGTATGTAATCCTAAACTGATTCAATAAAACAGTGGCATCAAAGATGACAAAAAAATTTGTTTGCTGCAGATTAAATTTCCATGCATTTGTTATATTTTGTTTAACATTTTATGCATGCACCAAAGTTACAAGAATGTTTAGTAAAATGTTTTTACCTTTAATTCTGGTATTGCGGCCACTATCTACCAGAATATTTTTCAGATTGATGTTCCTAAAAAGGGATAGTTTAAGAACAATTCATCAGCCAGCTCAAGAAGGAATAACTAGTAAGCCAATTAAAGTAATGGAAAATCCAACATATCAAAATGTATGACTAAATGGACAAATAAGAGAATGAAAATGATTGGAAGACTGTTTTTGGCTGTAACAAAAAAAATAAAAAAAATAAAATAAATATGAAGAAAGTTGAAGTATGAGGCAACACTGCCATTCACACATCAGCAGAGAATGCCTCTTTACTTTGACTTATTCCGTTTTAAATTGAATACAAGGTAAATTTGTACAGAGAGGGAATGTGCCAAATTGAATTAACACTTTGCAATCAAATGTGTTCAGAGTAAAAATCTGTGCATCTTTCGTACTGTTTTAATGTTAAATAGTTAATACATATGAATTTAAGTTTACAACTAACAAATCACTAGGTGAGAACAGAATAACGTCAAATAAAAGTGTACTAGTACCTGTGCACAATTCCTGCATTGTGCATGGTAAGAATTCCATTGCAGGCATCAGCAAAATAAACCTTGGCCAGTTTCTCACTCACTCTTGCACCAGGGAAATTGGAACCCTGGGGGTTGCTGTGGCCTTTGGCAGTTGGCACAAGGTTTTGCAGTGAGCCTCCTTCACAGAACTCAGTGACCAGGTAGATGTAATTCTCGTTCTCAAATTTTTCATAGAACTGCACCTAAGAAAGACAGTATGCTAATATTAAGCATTATTCACATTACACATACATGTATGCATATAATTAAGTACTTGGGCAAGTATATATATACATATATTGATGCATGCACTCAAACACATAGAGATATTTACACACTTCTGACTCATGCACAAACACACACACACATACTAGGGAGATCTCCCTCTATCTCCCTCGAGAGAGAGGCTAAAATGTGATTTTCTGTTACTATCAGCCCATAAATACAAAAATAAAAGGATATAAAAGTGCAGGAAATCTATACTAGGCAAGTATCATATATGTAGCTTACACATGTGCTGTTCAACCAGGCAAAGGTACATGCTTACATGCAGTTACCAGGGGCGGATCCAGAGATATTTTCTGACAGTCTTCCATATTATATTTGTTGATCCATCCTCCACTTTTTGACCGTCTTCCGACAGAAAAAATTAGATACCCGTCAATGTAAACTTGAAAATCTGACCGTCTTCCGGAAGACCCAGAAGACGGCCTAAATCCGCCCCTGGTTACTACACATGCAGACATACATACAGATTCCCAGTAGTAGATCTGGAGGGAGTAGGGAGGGAGGGCACAATGAGTTGCAGCCACCTCCCCCACCATCATCAGAGGTACCCATATATCTCTCTCCCTCCCCCCCCCAAAAAAAAAACAAAAACAAAAACAGAAACAAAAACATACCAAGTAAAACAAGACAAAGAAGCAAAAGCATATTTAACAAAAGTGTCTTCCTTGACCATTTTATAATGGTAGAACTATAAGAGTGAATTTTGATCCATGTCCCCAGATGCATGGTTGCAGTTTCTGCATATGCAGACACACATAATACTAGTACAGAATGCATGTTGTGTTGTGCACCAGACCTTTCCATTAGTGACCCCCCCCCCAGTCCAACTATACATCCACATGTGTATAAAATGGTACATGTAGATATAATGCATCAGAGCACACAAGTCACTGCACATGCACCTATGTTCTAATACTCAGAAACAAACTGATGCACCACATACAGTAAATATGTAAAAATAGTTTCATATCTTAAATTTTCACAAATAAATGGTTGTTTCAAAAATAAAACTGCAGAAATAGCTTTTTAAAATTATTTTTAAAAACATGATAAGCACTAGAGGGCAGTCTTACATTTAAAGAAAAAATATACAGGTTTAGTAGAAAAGCAAAATCAAACTAAATAATGAACTTGATATTCAAAACTTACAAATGGTTTTTGGCGAGACAAGACCTTGTGGCCTTTCAGCTCCTTGGGCAATGTCTCAGTCAAATATTCAGCTGGTGCCAACCTTTTGCTGATGATTTTTATGGCAACCTGTGTGCAAAAGGAAATAGCATTTACCATTACTCTAAAAACATGTGCATTTCAATAATTTGAATAAATATCACATTTGTCTGATATTGTTATAATTGCTTGTAAAACTTGATTAATATGTTTTCATTATTTCTGAATCATTTCATTTGCTGCATTATTTTGAATCATTTCATTTGCATTATTCATATGTACTCTTGCTCAGTGACTGCAAACTAAGTCTTCAGGGAAAATCCGAAAATTTTAAATTCAACTTTCAATACTGGATACCTAAACATAATGTGAGGTCACTCGTTGAAAACAAGTCACTGATTTTGTTCAGGTGTTAACACTGTGGTAGACTAGTGTGCTATTTTCAATAAAGTTCGTGTGAAGTGCTCTTATATGCTACAAATCTAAGTAACAGTCGTAGTCAAGTGAAAACCTCCGCTCAGTCTCATTTTCAAGAACATATGATTGTATGGTGGCCGTGTGATCTACTCACCGATCGATGCCCACTGCTGTTGACGAATCTGCGGATGGTGTTCTTCACCGACTTATTGAGCAGCCTATAACTCATTATCTCTCCCCGGATAACTTTACTGTCAGTATCCAGAGAGAGGAAGGAATGAAACTGAAACCCATGATTAAGGATTTCCACCAGCTCCGTCTTGGTTTCCATGCACGGAGTATGACCTGGCGTCCACATTGGAGCCAAGCGCCCCTTCTTCTTATCCTCTCTCTCTAGAATCGCTTTAGCGTCTCCAGACGCACAGAACTGTATCTGTTCGCGCTTTTCCATAGCTAAATAAGAGTTTGCATCCGATTTTGATCGACAGAACAATCAAAACACATCCGAAAAGTTTGGTGAACCTTTGCGGTATCCCAAAATGCCTTGCGACAATGGAAACAAAATATTGCGCTCGACTATAGAAACAAGACAAGCCGACATTATATTTCACTCAAGGTCTCAGTTCGTTAAGGATTTGTCTCACACAAGAAATTGACCCACAAAACATAATGCAATGACCCTCTTTTGTCGTAAAATGTGAGTTTCAATAGTTTAAGCAAGAGATGAGCGACTAGTGGAGTGAAAATAGTTAACTGACAACTGCGCCATCTATATGGACATACTTGAAACATCACGAAGACAAGTCAATGAGTCCGCCGCATGAAGTAGTACTGCTGTTTTTAGGCATTTTCGATGACCAAAAAAAAAAAAAAAAAAAAAAAGGGGGGGGGGGAGTACCTGGCTTAGAAGGCGCTATTTAAAACAAAGCATTGCATCTTGTGCTGTTATTCTGTAAAGGAAAAAAGAAAAGTGTATGTCCTGATTCCTGGTTTCAACGAATAATGTTTACATCCAAAATGTGGCACAAACAATGACAATTTTTTTTGGGGGGGGGGGGGGGGTGGGGGGGCGGTCAAAATTGTTCTCGTACTTCTAGTTCTACGCACAGATCTAGTCTACAGGCTAGGACTATAGTTCAAGCAAAATTTGCCAGCATGGGTCTATTCTTTTTTAATATTAGTTGCAAAACTATCCAAGGTTCCCCATTATGACAGAAAACAGGCCATCTCAGACCCCGCTAAAATTACAGCTATTTAACGGGCGCACTGGTACTTGATCTTTATAATAAGTTAATTTAAAAAAACAACAAAAAATATCATATGCACTTACATAGATCGCACTTTAATTTTAAATATTGTAACAAATTTTGTGTATTACTTTTTTTAATTATCTAAAAACATATAGAATATTTGCTAATATCTTTTTATATGCATGTATAAAAATTTAAATTATATATTACATGATTTTGCTTAATTTATTAATAATTGCTAAATGCTATTTTTTCCTATTTTCTCAAAATATAGAATATTTGATTATAAATCTTAAAAGAAAATCAGAAAGTAAAAGTTTGCTAATATTATTCCGCCTTAAATTTGGTTTCAAGCTAGTGATCAATTCACCTTATGCAGTGTGGGTAATTTAATAAATGAAATATTTACATTATTCAGAAGATTTCTATGACAATTGTAATGGCTGGACACATATAATTAATTAATTTGGAGACTGATGGTTTAAATTTATCTTTTCTTTATTTATAGTTTTTGTTTTGTACATATTACTATAAGTCAGCAACTTTCTTCCACAAATAAAATATCAGATTCTCTCAAAGAAATCATGGGATTTTCCTGCTAAGATGAATTTTTCTGGGGTAAACTAAGCACATTTTCTCCTTCGACGAATTACTACTTGACCCATCCCTGCACCTGGATTTGCTGTTTTACTCCATTTTTAATTTGAATAATTTGGCCAGTCATTATAATGACATCTGCTATAATGCACATTGCCTCATTTTTACACAAGAAAATTACCAAGGTTTTTTATCATGGCCCTGTGCCAAGTATTAAACAGATGTTGCAAGCCAGCAATGTGGATGGAGATTGAGAAGATAATAACAACACTCTGAGATCCAGGCCAAATTGTCTACTTATCTGGGCCCCGTAACTCGAAAGCATCGCGCATTGCAACTGAGCACAAGCGTCTCGATTCCATAACTTGCCCATACTCGCCCCACATTGTAGCCTCTATGTGCTATTGCTATTCACAATGCGCAATGCTTTCGAGTTATGGAGCCCTGTACTTCTTGTTCTGCTGAGTTGTCCATCAGCATTTTTAGACTCTGGCATCCAGGAACAAAATCTGTGGGGTGCAAATATACACTGAAAATATCCATGCTAGATAATATTGTCTTTATCAATGTGTGGTATTAAAATAAACTTACAAAACAAATTCAGGTCAGTACTATGGTGTCTGTTGCTATCTGCACAGGTAAAAATAATTTTAAAAAAAAAGTAACCTGACATGTACTTTTAATAGGTATCTTGTCTGAAAATGAGAGGCTATTTACATCTGGCTAATAATCTCACTTTGAACAGAATGGTAGACGGTTTAACTTGCCCAGGGTGTGGGGCAATGTGTTGGATTTTCATAAAAAGAAGGGGAGGGCTCTATAGACGTCAGACCTTTAAATTTTCTGCTAGTATCTGCATTGACCACTAGTGGACAGTGTTAGATCAAGATGTAGTAAATAGACCAAAGGTCGACTCTCTTTCAGTATGATTACACAGGAGGAATAAGTTAAAACTTTAATGAATGAATAGATGTTTATCTTGATCTATGTTTAGATGAGTTTGAAAATTTGTGGGATAAAAGTATTGCCAACTGGGAACACTCCCAGTAATGTTAAATCCTGTAAATCTGACTTACAGTCTTCAACCAATACTATTACAGAAAATAAATATTATTAATTTAACAGTAAATAGCAAAACCATCATCATCTTCTTGATTTAGATTTCTCGTTCAAATCATCTCTGTTCTGAGATCCATTTTTTTCAGATACAGTACTTCTGTCAAACTTTTCTAAATCTTCATTTTCATCCAGTTTGAGTGTGTTGTTTTTCTCATTTTCCCCTATTTCTTCATTGATTTGCTGCGTCTCATTTTTTAATCCCTGGTCTGCAAAATTTTGCTTTGACATCATCTTCACTATGTCCTCTTGACTTTGCCCCATCTCTTGACGCTGTGCTACTTCATGTAACACTTTATGTTGTTTCATGGCTGAAATTGATTTTTTAAAATAATCATAAAAATGAATGAACAATTCATTAATAACATTCCCAAATAAGCTTCAAGACTTTCTATCCAGGCAAACGTCAATCACGCAATGACACTGCCTGTGCAGAATACTTATATGCATGGGACCCACGGGGCTGCTAATAACTGTACCAACAATAATGTTATATTCTTTTTTTTTTTCAGATGTTTAAGGCTCAACGAATCGTAACTATTAATCCTCAATTAATTTGTAAATGCCTTGAACAAGGGAGGAAAAAAATATTTTTGCTTAATAGCTCAAAACATGTTAGTTTATTGGAACAAAATTTGAAACAACTTGATAAAATTCACCTTCTTGATAAGCTTCCTTAAACCCCTTTTTTCCCCATGGAGTTTCAGCATTCTCCTGTGCCTCATGTTTGATTAGTTTAGGCATTTTCAGCTTGGTCTCTACTGCAGGAATTTTGAGTACTGCCCCCTGACATAGGGAGATGACATTTTGAGTGAACCAGTATACCAGCATGGCCTGCAAATACAGCAAATACTATTTTTATTATACAATTAGCATAGAATTTGAGATCTGATAATCAAAACTCATTACATACTTCCACTGCTGACACTTTAGTCAAACAAAATATTGACCAATGTCATAACCCATGGAACAAATAGCATGGGTCAAGATCACTATTACTTATATTGGGGTCTGAACATAACTGAACCACTAATTTTTACTTACTGAGGGAAATGTTGCTGTAACACAAAACAACATCACTGGCATACCATACAGAAAATATTTCAGCATCTTCTGCGCGTTAACATCTAGCGGGGGAGCTTCTGAACCCAGCTGAAATGCAGGGAAGAAGCAAGATCTTTAGAGCAACAGCCAAGAAGTGACTTCTAATAACTAGTCACTTGCTACAAAAAAATTTGGATTCCAAAAATGGGATTTTCTAGGTCACTACAAGGTACACAGTGTCCGTACAGTATTTAGATTTTTACCTGCACCTCAACTAAATTATTAAAAATATATTCCCATGAAAAAAAATGAATTAAAAAAAGGTTGGTATTAAATAAGTACAAAGTCAATTGGATCAAGCCTGTGACTGTATATTCCGTTTCAACATATTAAAAAAAAACGTTAAATTCATGAAATACATAAAAAGCCTTTTGCAGGGGTAGACAAATAAACCAGCTAGTCTTTTTCTAAAGAGTAAATAAATTGGCAAGAATGGTAAATGTCATTAATAATAAACATTACAAGGTCTGAATTTTATATTGTTAATCTTAGATCAACTTAATGTTAAAGTTTCCACAACAGTCCATACTTTTAATGTCAACCACATGGTCAGTGCTGTTGCAGACGGCAGTGCAAAAATTGGGTCCGCCACAGTCAGATCTTTAAACCACCACAAACCTCCCATCTTTAAACTCTCCACTGGCAGTGAGACCATTCCCCTTCATGGCACTGAACACCGATAGAAAAATTGGTACCTAGAAAACAAGTGCATAGGTTAAAAAAAGGAGATCATAATATCACTATAACACTTGCTTTCTAATTTAGAAAGCAAAATTTTTGCTTTTCTATTATGAAATAAAGCCAATCAATGGATTTACCTCAACTCATACTGGCCCATACAATACAGTCTTGTTAATGAAAAAATTACTCTATGTAGGATTTAAATTATCAATGGAAGAAAGAGATAAAAATCTTGCTAAATCTAGTTTCTCAACAATTCACAAGATAGTTAATGGCTCACTTATATCCAAATCACCTGAACTATTGGAACCAAGAAACAGCGAAAAGGAGAGACACCAACGTCTCTATGTAACATTTGTAGCTTTTGCAACTCCTCCATGTCTGAAAAAAATATTCATATGAACTTGGTATAAGAAGCCCTTAAACCTAAATTAAATCACAACTTCTCAAATATTACCCAGTAGAATATAGTTAACTGTATTGGTACTTTAAGGGGTTCTAAAGGAAAAGCATGAGACTACTGATGGACCTGCCAAAGTAGGTAACACTATAAAGAAACTCAGTGACACTTTCTTACGTGGGGGAGATTGGGGTTGGGGGGGGGGGGGACTGACAAGCTATACACAACTACGAGATGAAATGTGTAAAAATAAATTGTAACAGATTTTCAAGACAAAAATAATAATTTAATATAGATCATTTGAAAAGAAAATTGTAGGATTTTAGAGAAAGAATAAACTTCTGTAAAGTTAAATATACATACAAGTAACCATGTCATTGTCTTCTAGAGCTTTTGCCATTTTGTCCTGAAATTTCTGTATCTGTGGCATAACATTCAGCATTTCTATTAAACTTCTCCTGCTTATCACCATCAGTGGGAAGATCAAAATCCGTAAACAAATAGTACCTACAATGAATTTAAATAGATTAAAATAATTCAAGATCTATACTATGAAATTAATAATGCACTGATAATTATTTTCATAATCAAAGCTACCCAAAAAGGAATACCAAACTCAGTCCACACCCAGTCCTTTAGCTAATAAATACTATATACTACTTCAGGGCAGAGGCAACTTCCACCTGAGATCCATTTTCAAATTTAGGGCATGCACTTAACACTTCAGCTGTCCTATGTATTAACATTAAACTGAAGGCACAAGCTGTAGCATTAAGCTTCCAAAGAAGCTATAAAATATAAAGGCTAAATGCCTTAGGCTCTGTTCTCACAACTTTTAGATCGATCTATCACCGCGGGGAGTCTCACTAGATTACTGTCAGATAATCCCCCTTAAGTGTCCGTCCCCACCTACTACAAGCTTTAAGGGGTAATTAACTTTCGTGTCCGCCCGGCTGACAGCTATTTAGCGTGAACCCCCAGGGAGTTAGGTCGATCCAATGTAGGTCGATCTAATCTATGAGAATGGGGTGTTAGGGTACATAGCTAAGCTAAGTGTTTTTACTCCCTCCAAATTTAAAAAGTGTATAAAACTGAGGGCCTGAACCTCAGGGAAGTCCACAGTGCTAAAGCTCCCCACAAAGACATATCAAACTGAGGGCCTGAACCTCAGGGTACGTATCCAGTGGTATAGCTCCCCACCAGGACATATCACACTGAGGGCCTGAACCTCAGAGTACTTACCCAGTGCTAAAGCTCCCCATCAGGACATATCAAACAGAGGGCCTGAACCTCAGGGTACGTACCCAGTGCTATAGCTCCCCACCACGGCATGTCATACTGGACATGCAGGGTCTCCAGAAATGACTGTACCCAGCCAGATGGCCAGTAACTGGCCAGTCCAAGGCTCTGAAGAGAGGGTTCAGCCAGAGTCTCCAATGGGGTGTCCACAATATCAACTGGAGGATTGAGGTAAGTTCCTTCACTGATGACCTCTTGTTGCTGGCCCCCAAAATGACTTCCTGGAAATAAGAATCGAGTTTCAAAACTTAAGATTTTTTTATTAACTTCAGATGATTATAGAAGCACAGGGTTCACTTTCTTCAAAACGGAATGGCAAACTTTCCTCCTCAATTACTGACACCTGAATCTCTTAAGTAATAACTACACCTGCAGCAAAATACCCAGTTTAATATAATGAAAAACAAATATAAAATTATAAAAATAGCAGGATGGGTACACTCATTATAATCAAATTGGACCATTTTCAATATCACCATGTAATGTTTGTGTTTCATAAGTACAACATAAACTACAAAAACTTTGAAATTATTACATTACTTATTTCTAAAACAATGTACAAAACTTTGTTTTATAAGACTACCTGTTTAAAATTGGAAGAACTTTGAAAACGTGCTGGTACACTGTTGAAGATGGCGGCACCATTCCTAGAAATCAGAGGTCGTGATGATGACCTGAGGTCAGAGAAGATGACATGGTGGTGAATCCTTCTTCTGCCTATACGGAACATGTTCATTGTGATAGGCTGGAATGAGAATTTTTTTCTTTTCAGTTCTGTGAGACAAATATTGCATGATGACAGTATTAACAATTGTTCTAATTATCCCCAAAAAATAATATCTTAGCTTTCATTTTTTGAGTGCCTATATTTAATCAAAAGGCCAAAAAAATCCATCAAGAGTAATATACAAGTAGTTGTAAATTTCATCAAGAGTTATGAAAGACCAATTATTTTAAAAACAACATCAAGTCAAAAGCTATGCGCAAACCAATTAATTGACATATTCCTGGTATTTCACAATTGGGCATGTACTGCATTAAATCTGAAATGACCTCATTTTCACTTATGAATCATAACAAGGATAGCTACAGCTTTAGTAGGTGTGACAGACATCTAAGCTGCTTAAGTTAATTGCAGTTAAGCAAAATCCCCTTGGAGATAGTTCGATCCAAAGTTAGTACAATAGTCTCTGGGAATGGTCTATTATTTAAACTTTTATTTAAGAATTTTTCATTTACGGTCTGAATTGGGAAAGATAAGCTTTGCAGGATAAAAAATACAACTCGGGAACATTTACAAAACATGAAATGGATATACCTTTAAAAATTTATTGACTTTCAAATGTTTACAGTATTGACTTATTTCACATTTAATTGAAATGTCCACATTCCCACATAGCTACATCCCTCAAGGCTAATGCTTTATTTAGAAAATAAAAAAAATTCACCAATTCCCTGTTGCTGGTGAACCCTAAGAAGTTGAAGATGACATTTTTAAATCATTGTTAAAACTACAATCCATTATCATGAGAAAAATTCAACTTTGACCACATATTTAAAAGCACAGAAATGTGCTAAATAGTGATTTTTTTTTACAGTGAAAGAGTAACTAATACTTTATTAACTAATTTCTTTTTTCTTTTCTTTTCTTTTTTTTTCAGTTTCCATCAGCATCTGAACAATTATGTAGATAGCACAAAAGTTGGAGACAAGCACAACTTGCATTTTCCCATACTTAGTATATAACTTAATGCCTTTGATAATTTTAAAAGTAACTCAGCCTTTTATTCCAGTCAAAGTTATATTTGAACCTCCATCGCTGGGACGGCTGTTGATCTCCAGTGCAGTTGCTTAGCACAACATTTTCTTTCACAAAATCCAGACACCTGCCTCCATTTTCTAACCTTCCTTTCACATACTCCCAACCAAACACAAATCCACTTTCTGCACAATCAACAAATTTTACCCTGGTGTCCATGTTGTTTTTAGAGTCCATTTTGTTTTGACCTAAGCACTTTGAACCAATCCTCAACTGGTTTTCTTTATTAATGTATGCCATCTGACTTGACTTTAAACTCACACATTCTGCGAGACTGGGTGCCCCATTGCTATCTTCCAAACACAATGATTTACCCACATTTTCTAGTCTTTCATAAAAAACTGCATCATTTGGAGGGATAGGCATTTCAGGTATAATATTAGACATGTACCATTCAAAGGATTTACAGTTAAGATTTTTCTTCAGCTGAATTCTTTCCTTCAGTGAAGTTCTGTTCACTGAAACATCATAGTGTGTTGCTTGTCCGTAGAAAAACTTGCGGTAATCTGGACCAAGGACAACCTCAGCTGATCTAACAGCATTGTGAAATATCACTTTCCCAGGTTTATCCTGGAAAGAATAAGGAACACTACGGAAGATGTGACCGACACGTGAGCATGGGTGAATCTCAACACGCCCTCCGCACTGCCATGCTCGGAAAGAAAACTCTACGTCGTCAACCCCCCAAATTCTCATGTCAGGATCTAACATGCCAAGCTGTCTAAAAAAGTCCATTCTCAAGGCAAACGCACCAGCTGGCATAATAGGAGAAGGAATTGGATCAGTGTTTTTCAAACTTTTCCTTAACTCAGCTGGTATTGGTTTCCAATAGAATTCTAAATTCCAGTTGAACCCTCCATGTGAGCCCAGCCAACTCTTTTGCAGGTTAAAGGAATCACCAAAAATAGTGTCCAGTAGAGACATGGCAACAGCATTGGGATGATGATGGATATGATGTAGTATAGGCAGCAACCAGTTGCGGTTGCATTCCACGTGTGAATCCAGGTAAGATATGACCTCTCCTGTGACATATGCTGCACCAATCAGCCTGGCCTTGGTGGAACCTTCTCGCTGGACCGTTCTTATCAATTTAACACCAGGTAATGTTAAAATAGCCTTTTCTATGGGTTCTTTTAGGCAAGTTTTATCATTTGTGCTTCCATCGTCCACTAGAATGACCTCCTTGATGACCTCTCTTGGCCCCCTGGTCAGTAAGCTGTGCAGTGTCCGTAGTATGCTGGACAGAGGCTCATTGTGAAATGGGATGACCACACTGGCTTTAGGGAGAGACTTGATATCAAAGTCATCAACATCATAGATGTCTCTGCATGCATCATCTCTGCTATCGAATATGTCCCTATCCACAGCAATGGTGTCCCCCAATGTGTGATTGTAACCTGCATTCCCCGTCCATTTGCCTGCATCACTGACAAATTTCTTCCTGCCTTTTCCCATTTTCCTATACCAGCTAAGGTAGAGACCAGTGTACTTTCCACGATTGGTATAAAATAAATCCGGATAAAGCTTGTAGTCCAGTGCTATCCTGTGCTTTTCCGAACTGTTTATTTCTACAGGAAACTCCAGTATTGGCTGTCTTTTCCTGATCTTCAATATCAACACTGGTGCAAAGAATGCAGCTGCCCACAAGAACATTCTCATCATGTTTACAGACTTGTACAGTTTGTGTCTATACCGTACATTCATATACATCTTCAACCCTTATCAAATAGTTAGACTGTACCAAAAGCAACCACAACTAATAACAATGATGGCAGCAAATATTCCGTTCTGAATTTACCCTAGAGCATCTAGAGTGCTGAAGGTCAAAGTATATAATACAACATTACCATATGAATCTGCATATATTTATATATTCACAGATTTAGCTTTTAGGGAGTATGCTTGGGGGGGCTTATTTTTTATCACCTGGTTAAAAACCAGCTTTGTTTCGAGGTGGAGGACCCTGAGGTCATTTCTGCTGCATTTTGACAGAGTGCTGGTTTGAATTTTATAGCATATTCACTGTACATGATGAAGTCAGAATGATATCTGTAAGTGCTCCTATTTACTGTTTCTGATATTATGAACTTCTATATTATGTACCACTATATGTGCTGAGGCATGAAACTTTGAAAAATACAAACGCATAACATTACGTTTTTTTTAAGAGTGTGCATGAAAGTCAAATGAGTCAGCACGTCCATCCCAATTCGGGGTCGTTAACCACACATTTACAGTCATGTATCTTTATCTTTCGTCACAATCGTACAAATCAGTAACAAGCAGACATTTGACTTACCGGTGGGTGACAGGATATAAATCCGCGTGATCGCTGTAAACAAAATCGCATGCGACTGTAGGCTGCCATCTTGTGCTGATGCCTGATGGGTAGGACTAAAATATTGAGAAAAAACTACATAAAAATGTTTTTAAGTAGGAAAAAAGAAACTGGTATTTTGTTTGATAAATCTTTATCATCGATTTTATAAATCAATTTTATGTTCTCTTGCATTTCTGATAATTCAAAATCTCGTTATGCGTGATAGCAGACGACTAAGGAAAACAGAAATGGCGACGATAGTGAGAGTCAAACGTAGAAGGCATGATGATCCACTGGATAGCCTAGTTTTGGCTTGCAAAAAACCAAAACGGGTTAGTCAGCCTTTAGGTGTGGACGATGACGACGACGAAGAAGTAAAAAGTATATTTTCATTTGCCGGAACCGTTCAGAAAAAGGTAATAGAGAAAAGGTTTTGCCGACAGTCCCAATGTCAATACCTGGATTGCGGTAGGGTCCATACAATCCCCCCCCCCCCCCCCCCCCACACACACACACACACACAATAATACTAGACTAGATGCTTGAGAATTAACACACTCAAATATATGAGTGTGGATAATCCGTTTGAATTTATGCACTATCTCACTTTTACAAAAAAATTATCATGTTTAGGAACACCGTGTTAGCAGAAAGTTCACTCCTACTCGCGGTTTTGATATCTGTGCTAAGGCATGAATGCAAAAGCCTCAAAAAGTGTGTAAAGGAAGCCAGTTGCAGAACCAGCTGTGGTGTGGGAGCTCTCAAAATTTCCCTTACCTCTGTGACCTCGCATCACCTCAACTTGCACACCCCTGTAAAGCCAACTAGTTTCCCATCAACATAGCATGAAAATTCATGCGTTAGCACTCCTATTGACGATTCTGATATGTACTGTCTGTGCTAACGCATGAAAGCAAAGGCCTCTAAAAGTTGGAAATGAAAACGGGTGTATGATTTTACGACGGTCAAACTGGTAGAAAGACAGATGAATTTAAGGAAAGTGATACTCTGTTGATGGGAAAGCTGGTTGGCTTCACAGTAATGTGCGTGTTTAGGAGATGAGATGTATTATAAAAATTTGACAGCTGCCACACCGTGGCTGGTTCGGCAACCGGTTTTCATTTCCAACTTTTTGAGGCCTTTGCTTTCATGTGTTAGCACAGACAGTACATATCAGAATCGTCAATAGGAGTGCTAACGCATGAATTTTCGTGCTACCATCAACAGTGCTTTAAGTTTGATAATATCCATCTGCTTGTCTACTAGTTTGGGTGTCCTGAAATTAAGCACCTGGAAAAATAAACCTAAACCGTCTTCTGAATGCGCAGGGTTTATCAAAATAATAACGCAAAATTTCCTTCCAGAAAGCAACCCACTGCGCAGAATCGAGCTCAAAATAAGTATCATGAGCAAAGTGATTATATAAGACTTTGTTTTGCACTAGGAAATTATTGCTCATGAAAAAGCAATAAAAAGGTTCTATATTTTTTTCAGAATGAGCCAGTTTCACGCCATGTTAAGGAAGCCATCAGAAAGAAAAAATTAGAGAAAGAGTACAAACAGCACAGCACAGACTTTCTGAAAAGTGCTCGAAGAAAACAAAAAGATGTCATCAAAAACAACAGGTTTAAAGTTACTGCAGGTCATAGGTCAATGGACCTTAACAATCTGGATGTTGCAGATGACCAGACTTCACATGGTGCATGTAAAGGCACAGAAGTGGAACAAAAAGATACTGGACTTAATGATACCAGTTTTGAAAAGTGGACACAGAAATGTTATCAAATTTATGATTTGGAGGAGGAGGAGGAGGAGGATGCATCAAAAGAAAAACAAGTAAGTTCAGTAACCAAATATTCTTGAAAAAGAACATTTTTCGTATTGTAAACCCCCTTTTTTTGTTATATCACAACAGATGAAACTATAGTATGGTTTTTGTGTCCATAATTAATCTCATGTTTACTTAATGGAAACCATTCTCACAAAAATAACAGATACACATCATGCATTTAGGCAGAGGCCATCTCATCCCAGTCAGCAGTAGCATGTAATGGAGTTCCAATGATCAGAGAGAAAATCCCCCAGAGTGAGCCACAGGACACAGACTTTGTGTACGACATCTACTACTCCAACTGTGCAGACTTTGATTTCCGCAGCCTGGAGAACTTGTTAACGGTGGAAGCTTATGGGGAAGAGTATGTGTATGACGACTACAGGGAGCCCATGGATAGGGAGATTTATGAGGATGAGGATGACAGTAACGAGGAGGATAACTGGAGGAATGACTACCCAGACGAGGATCCTGAGGAAGGTAAAGACCTATGGTCAGTCAGTGACAGGGAAAAACGGGAAATATAATATGTGAATTTATAATATCGAGCATGTGAAATACTATTTGTTCAACATGAAACATAGATTTTTATTTCATTGTTTATTCTGTTTTGTTTTAATGTGTTAAACATATTTGAGTATTGGAAAAACTAATCAAATCAACATTATATTTTAAAGACACACAGAAGGGTTTCTTGCTTTAACTTACTGGAAAAAGATTGATGGAATTGACTATTTTTTAGCTTGTGACAGTGATGAAATGACTAAGAACATTTAATTTTTCTAAGAACATGCTTAATGTTTTTCTCTAGATAAGTATGATTTTCTCTCTCTCTCTCTCTTTTTCTCTCGACATCTTGTATCACCAGATGAAAACCTTTGATATGATTATATTATGCATGTCATGCTTGTGTATATTGATAAGGAGGAGCTGGTGATGGATTTGAGAGTGATGGTGAACCATTATCCAGAAGACTGGTCAGGGGCTTGAGACTGGGAGGTAAGGAATGATATAGACAGATATGGTACAGATATGATGTAATACTAAATATTTCAAATATTTCAAATATTATCCACAAGACTGGTCAGGGGCTTGATACTAGGAGGTAAGGAATGATATAGACGGATATGGTACGAATATGATGTAATACTAAATATTATCCACAAGACTTGACAGGTGCTTGGGACTAGGAGGTAAGGAATACTATAGATGGATATGGTACAGATATGATGTAATACTAAATATTATCTACAAGACTGGTCAGGGGCTTGAGATTAGGAGGTAAAGAATACTAAAGATGGATATGGTTAGGTAGCACAATGATGATAAGCAGTCTGTCTGTCCCAAGGCGTTCCTTTTAGGGGAATAATGTAAGGTCATGACTGTTGCCTATATTTGCTTTCAAAGAAATATTGCAAAAATGTTGAGTTATATAATTATTCCTTCAGAAAAATAAGTCATAAGAAAAAAAAGCAGACTTAAATGAAAAGAAGAGTATTTTCTCATCAATATTTTTAGGAAAAAAAGTAATAATAATTATGATGAAGAGATTCATCTGTAAGCTGTATTTCCTTTTTCTTTGAATCAAATTAAAAAAATTCTTGAACTGACTTACACACTCAGTAACACCAAGTTTCTTCCATTGCGATATTTCTGTCTTTTTCTGTTTAGATGTTAACCGCTGTTGTGAAGAAATTGTTATTATAGTTTCTTTCCACCTGCAATTGTATATTTCTACAATTTAGTAAAAATATATATATATATATATTTATATATATTCTAGATGAAGATTTGTCCAGCGATGAAGAGGACCTTGCCTGTTTTGGACAGGGTCTATACACCACATCATGGACACCACAATCTTCCTATGAGAACTACAGGAGGAAAATGGCCTCTGGACTGTATGAGGATGATGATGGCTATGACATTGATGAGATTGATGAATATAGCTGATATAGCAGGATGAGTTGTGTGATGAGTGTTATAAGGAATCGGATAACTTTACTTGATTTTATCTTTAATTTACTTGGCATTTATTAATTAAATTCATGCCCTCAAACAAAGTTCTGTTTTTATTCAGTCACATTTCAAAGGTCATCCCTTGAATCTGGTAGTTACAAGAGTCTTGAGGTTTCAAAGTTACAATTCCGCGTACAGGTATAAGAGTTTGGAAAGCTGCAAACCTTTGAGAATACGTCCACTGCTAGCTATGCCTAAAAATTTTGTTTGCAAATTCCAACAGGAAATGTAAGTTTATGTGAGAAGAGTATTTGAAAGTAACTAAATTGTTAAATATATGTAAATATGAAAGTTAGAAATAAGACGGTATTGGAATATGCCTGAGTATACTGTATATGTAAGGTGTTTGAAGCTTGTGATCATGAGCAACTGCCAAAAACAACGTAGAGCTGTGTTTTATATATAAAACTGACGAGACTAATATCTAGTGTGTACTGTACTAGTACACATATATGATGTGATCATGACCTGGTCAAAATTGATTAATACAGATGAATTTATTAACATTCAAATGTGTGATGAGGTCAAAGAATGTATTGTTTAATGGATTCCATTTTCTGCATATTATAAAGTTCTTAGTGAACCTTCTGTTCAGTATCTCAGCATTAGGAACATATTTTATTGGGGCACATGGGAGGAAGAAAGTCTAGATTTGGGGTGGGTCTTGCCATTCGGAAGATCCATTGGCCCAATGATTCATCGGTCCCAATACTTGCAACATTTTCATCCGTCTTTCAATGAGAGTTTGTTGGTTCAAAGGTTCTATAGGTTTAATTAGTGAACATTTGAACCAGTGAACCTTTGGACTATTGTCATACACCCATGCTATGTACAGGGAGTTGCTTCGTGCAGATATCTTTTTGAGTGTACTGTGTGTAAAAAAAAGACAATGACTGGAGTACATGTACCTATCTACCAGTATACTGGTATATGCAACACACTTTCGGCTAATGGGTTCCACAACCTTGAACTTAAATACTAAAGGAAAAGGACAAGCAGAGTCAGCAAAATTTGCGAAATAGAAATCTGTCTTGCAGGATTGCTGTGCTACATGGTACTACACATTAGGAATTTATTTAGAAAAACTATATATGGTATTATTATATAGTATTGGGCAATTTAGTCACATTGGGTCCCATATTTATACATAATTTCCTTGGATATTTGTCTTTATCACCAACTACAACTACATTCTAAACCATTGAGAAAAGTCCTATCAATAAACCCATTTTCAAATTCTGAATTCTGATTCTATCTGTCATTACATTTAAAATTCACTCTACGTGAATGACAAAAAGTAGAAACTTATCGCTAGATCTTTAACAATGGTTTTATATATTGTATTTCTGTTTGGCTGTTTTTGGATACGACTTTTCTTGGTGATTAAGGGAGAAGTGTTGGCATTTTCAGGAAAAAAAATTAAAAGTGCTTTGTTAGGACTAACTCTTTGTGTTTTCTAAAATATATGGTTATTTTATTAACCGTAACATGAAGCCAAACCATTGACTAGTAATTTCACGATCTACATTTGAGAGGGTGTGGGCAACCATTGCTGTTATGCTCAAATCTCAGTGTGCGTGCCTCAACAGAAACTGAGACCCGCCAAATTAGTTTGGCAGGCCCTAGCCAGATATCACATAGGATCTATTTGATAGAATGGTTGCTTACGCAATTGCACAATAGGGGGCGCGGCGGGATAGAGCGTCTGCTTACGCATATGCACTATAGGGGGCGATACTGCTGTGTCCACGGGTGCTGACTAATCTAACCATAGCAATTAAAATGTTTTCTGATATTTAACATAAGAAGTTAAGCTGTCATTAAGTCGTAAGCATTTCCTAGGGTCTGTAAATGTGGTCATTATGCCGGCAGCAATTTTAAAGGAAGACGCCCAATGCTGAACTCAAAACAAAGAGAATTCACAGTAGGGTATATGGGGCGTTAGTGTTGATCTCTCATTTATGTTTGCTGATTTTTATGTAGTTTGTATTCGTCATGTGACCACAATTTGAAATTTACTCAAACTGCGTTATGTTTGAAATTTGTTCCAATTTCACCCCGAGTTCTGAGATTCTAATAAATATGGACAGTACAGGAATGCTGATAATTTGCTGTGATCTCTGGAACTCACTTTATATGTGAATACGATAAAGCTGACTGCCCACGAGGGAGATGATAATTAGGATTCCTTTTTTTTCTTTTATCTTTTTTCCTGCAATTTTTGTTTCGTCAAATACAATTCTTTTAAAAACTTTTTAGATTTTCTTTTTTAAAATTCGGAGGGAGAATCAACCGACTGTTATTGACACGAAGAAAACAATTCACCTTAGACGTTTTTACCATAATTGTGTAAGCGTGGAAAAATTAGATATAAATAGTTAAATGATATTTAACTGAAAATGAACTGCGAAACTAAGGCCCTTTGAGCTGGAAGACTGTAGATACTGGGGACTATCTTAAAGCAAGTTTTGGTCGATATTCAGCATGAAAAGTTGTGTTATAAATCGTTTTTGTATTTAGGCGTGTTAATTCTTTGAATTGAATTTGAATCCACTGGATTAAATTTAATGAAAGAACAGATGCACTTGATCCAAGCCTGAGTTTGAGTGGCAGCAAGACAGTAATCTGCAGTAATCTCTGAAACTCGGGGTGTTTGAATCACGATATTATCTGCAAGTACAACTAATGGGTGAATGTCTACAAAGGCCGCATTCACAACAGAGGTAGATCCTTGGACTAACAGATCCCTAATCAAATATGGCCGACCCACTTGAAAGTTTACCGCCTAATGTCCGTGAGGAAACTATTAAGAGCCTATTAGGGGATTAGGCGACAACCTTTCAAGTTAGTCCGCGATCAACCTGGTCTGAATGCGACCAAATACACAAATTACGGCTGCCATGAGATTTTAGAAGACCGAAGATTCGAAGACCACAACGCTCAGGCATGTTAAACCAGTAATTCTTTCCCTGGTAAAACTCTCCAATGTGGTCAGCCAAGCTAGCCAGTCAGCACCATTACCAGTTAACTATCTAGTAATGGGTTCTTGATGAAACCCGAGTGAGCGTTGCGAAGGGGGCTTGTTGGTGGGTAAGCTCTGGACTGGTTTTAATTTTTTTCAACCCCACCCCACCCCAATCTACACACACACACACAAAAGGAGAGAGATAATGAAAAACAATGTCACTTGAAGTGTTTCGTAATCCAGCAAGCAAAAAGCTTGAAAACAATTTCTTGTCAAAGATGAAATAAATGATAGTTCGCCGCTTTCTTTCTCTCTCTCTTGCAAATGAGAATGTCAAAACTCCGCGATAATGTAGACAAGCCAGAAATTCTATTGAGAAGAGAAGAGGGGCGCTTTCACACTTGGCCCAACTAGAACGATTTCATGAGACAGTTTTGGGTTTGGCCCTGTGAGACGATCCATTACAATTGACTGAAAAATCAGGTACCTATGGATTCACTTAAAACAAAGCTGTTTACGTCATTTACATCGCAGGTTCTGCGTCCAATCAATATAAAATTGGCACGGTGGCGTTTGAAATCGTGTCTAAGTCGGTAAACTTACGTCACTGTTCTTAAGTTACGCAACTCTTGCAGTCTCAAAGTTCCAAGAAACGGCTAAACCCTGTCGGATATTTCCTTTACCATTACATTTAATCCTCGCCTCCAGCGGGAAGATATTGCATGGCTGTCGTGTTCAGATTAATAAAATGAAAACGTGGGGTGAATCTCTCGTCGTCGGCCGAGCGACTTTTTCTATAATAAAGGATGTAAACAGATTACATTTTGTACATAGAATTAACCCTCGTGGCTGGCAGCCGACGCACCGTGGTGCCGCTGATTCTCCAGAGTCGTAGCGTTTAACGCGATTACCGGCCGCGGATAAATCAAGGAAATATATGATTATTCCTATTCGTAGGCGTAACGATATTGCAAATACCCCTCAGTTCAAAGTGTGTTCGTTTTTTTCTGGTGTGTAAACGCTGCATTGACTTGCACTTTTCAGATGATATGATCCTTTAACTCTTTGTTCAAATATTATCCCTTTTTTGTGTGTCTTGATTCATAGGCTGAATTGTTTTGTTATGATTAACTGGCGTAATTATTTTCGAACACCAGCTCTGCGGAAATTACCCACTACACCCAAAGAAAAATGATTAACTCCATATCTCCAAACTATATTTTAGCAATGAAATTAGGGATATGTTAAGGTCATGCTGTTTTGTGTGAAAAAATATAAATGAGACATCCTAAAAAGTATTTGAGTTAATTCTGGTTCAAATATAAGCTTCGAACTGGTACATTGCTTGTGTACAATCTTTAGAATGCTGTATTTCAATTTCTTCCTAATTCAAAAGATATTCGTCTGTATGAAAGCGCAAAATTATATGTAGAAAAAAAAGAATAAAGAAGGAAGGGGAAAAAGATGTGATCAGATATGTCGCAGTTTTAGTGTGTAAACACTACATTGTTCCGCGATGTCAAAGCGAGAAGTTCAGTTAATAAGTTATGTACATACACAGCAAACCAAGCCTGAATTACGACTGAATGTCAGCTGACTCGAAGCGCGTTCACACTGAGTAAAACATTAAGGTTTGTTAAGCGTTCCTTTTCACGCAATCGGCGACAGCAGTGATACTACAGTGGCCATACAGCACACATCAAGATAGCTTCACTGCATTCCACCACGTAGCCTGCTGCTGGAGTGGAGATCGCGAGAACCCTATATTCAGCTTCGATAAAAACTGAAGTGAAATGGAACGATGCCGGATCCGTTCCAATTTTGTTGTGTGAACCCGCTTTTACACGCTTCAAGGAAAACTTCCGGAAAGCAGTGGAGTCAAATTTCCCTCGTAAGTTATACTTAGGCCAGTGTGTTAAGACGTCACCGTGAAACCACGCGGCTATAGGAATGGCACCGATGAATACAAATCAAACTTTACGCCTAAAAATTATAAATGGGGGAATAATGCACGTGTTTCATTCATTCTGAGTCACGTTTGGTTTCGCAGTGGACGTCAGCTTTTACCCACGAAGTTGGAAGACCTGCTCAGACCTGCTCAGCACAGTGTCGAGATCTTGGCATCACGTAGAGCATCTTTGGAGAAAGATTAAAGGACATTGCTGTGAAAAAGAACGCCATTCCTCCAGCGTTTTACCGATTGTTCACACCCCTTGAACATTACAGTGCTAATGAACACTCCGGGGGTGTAAAATTAAGTAATTTTCTGTCTTTATAACACGCCTAGAAGAACGTGTGAGCCAATTTTATCGACTTTTCACAGAGACTGCAACGAACTGAGCGTGTTGGCCGACCAGGTGGTTGGTCCAGCGGGAACCTAAAGAGAAAAAAAAACGCACTGTTGAAGTGAATGTTTCTAACGCCAAGGCGGTTGTTCCGTTGTAAACTTCTAAAGTGAGGAACTGTTTTAATCTGAGGAAAAAAACATGCTGCTGTCTTGGCACCATACGTTCTTGGTCTCGCTACTTTTGCTGGGTTCTTCTTTGGCCTATCCTCTAGAAGAAAACGACCAGGGAGATGACACAGTCAAGAGATTCGACGAGTAAGTCGCCTTGGTATTTAGGAAATAGTCCTTTTTATTTCGGCATTTCATATATTGTTATACAGTACATACTCGTCATTTAATATCCACATATGTTTGGGTTACGTTCGTGGCAGTTACTGCATGATCTTCGCTTTGCATTTATTTTTCTGTTGAAACACCAAAAGTGAATAATATGCATGTGTAAGAATTACATTGAGTTGAGTGTGTGGCGCATATCAGTTGTTATGAACACTTACAGACATGAATGTTAACATTCTGTTTTGACAATATCTTGTTTGTGCTGATGGTTAAATATCTTACGTTGAAGTGATTCCGTGTTTTCATATCGTCTATCCGCGCGGCTTTGCAGGCAATATGCTCAATTAACAATTTAGAAGTAATGTAATCCAGTGAATGAACTTGCTGTTTATTGTTAATATTTGGCGGCCTTACGTATATGTTGATATAAATAGAGTACTGTACATGCCTGCACTTTTTGTTTGGTCAGTGTATCTACACTGCTTCCCCCTCCCCCAAAACCAAAAACTAACAAGAAAGCGGTTAGATAACGTCTTTAATTTACCAACGATATAGCACAAAGCAACCCTCACCAGAATGTACCCGGTACTACCTACAAATGAACATGTACGCTGATTGTCTCATACTGGGGGGCTAATTTCCAACGTTCCTGTGACTTCATTTAGTCGACCTCTAAATGACGTCATAAAAACGTCGATATTTAGTCGATCGACGTCTATCTTCTTAATGTCCCGTCTTTATGTGTCCTGATATGCACCATTTATCAATGATCTGTAATATGGAACGTTTAGGAAATTATCACTCAATGAATGTGCGAAATATCTAAGTGTGAAGTCGTGCTAAATCCGGACTTGAATCACTAATGAAAGACTTCAGGAAACTAGGGGGGTAGCATGTGACGTCATAGGCCGTGAAGTCATGCCTCTCCGACACTGGCCAACAAGAAGGGTCGAGAAATAACTTGCAACCCTAGGGGAAAGGTTGAGATGAATGTCTACCAATACTTCATGGCCCAGCCAACGACAACTCATCCAATTATGTCAGAAAGGGTCCGTTGTTGATATGCCTTTATAACGTAGCTGCGCAAATAAATCTTATACAGTAAGACCCAAAAATGGTCAGATTACCAATAAACCATTTTTCCCCTGCTCCGATCCGCTACAGTGCCAAAGCATTCCTTGTATCGACGTCGTCAACAAAAAGCGACCAATCTAAGACGCAAGTAACACACGCTCGCCAATCAAAAATTTCACACTTTGACATAAATATACAGACCTGTCATCTCTCCCGATTTCGTCGAGAGACTTTCTAACGTAAACATATAAGATTTAATTAGATAAATTTTGCAGCTTTAATAAACGAGAGGAATGATGTGTTTAACTGGGCTGGTTTACAGCTACAAAACCCCTTTTCCAGCCGTATCTTGTACAGTCAAACGTAACGTTTGGCTTTCATTGCCACGGCTACAAGAGTTGGAGCATGGGCTGGAGGGGGGCTGAGGGAAAGAGGTAGTTTAAGCTTGGACATAATAACGATTCGTCATTTTGTTCATGGTATATGGGAAGGGCCACGGCGGCTGTGATTTAGGGAAGGGCATAGACTTACCATTCTGGCAATTGTTTCGTCATTGACTTATAATGTTGTGATTCCGGAGGGCGACAGCAGTCATTTTACCTGTTTCCCTACACCATATGGCATGGAGAGGAGACGGGGATGACGCACAGGTGATATTGTTTCGCACCTATTAAGACACACATACATAAGAAACACCTATTCGCGTTTGCAATCAACTTGGACCGATCCTCCTTGGTTTTTAAACCAATTCCCGTGCGACACGTCTGGTCACGCAGATTTGGTTAGCAGCATATATTATATTTAGGGTCGACCTAACTTTGCTATGAACGCGCCTCAACAGACACACTTGATAAAGATAGCACATGTAATTAACAAAGAAGACCAAAGCAACGATAGGTTGGTTCAATGATGAAAACTGAGCATACTGATCTCATATGCAGCAGTGTGAATCTATTGCACTAATAAGTTTGACATTACGAATTCTGAATTCGCTCTTGTTCTTCAAAACAAGTTAATACAAGTATAATCAGTTTGGCATTTAGGTCCTTCCTTGCGATGTCTCCTTTTATCTTAACAGAAATTAGTAAAGACTGTGTACTTATAATATCAGTTCTCGTATCAACGCACTTTTGAGAAGACAATGCATCTAATTTCTCACCCGGCTGTCGTCAGCCATTTTTGTTCCAAAACTATTGGAAGGCGAATTTAAATAATGTTTACCTTTAAAAGATGTGATTTTGGGTTCAGTTGGAACGGCGAAGTTGTTTGTTTAAAAAAATCTAGCCCCACGTGTAAGCTAAAAAGTCAGGTTGATATTCCCGACCTTTGAAGGGGTGAGTATTATGCTCATAAGTATTCAATATTTCCACCTAGAGAAATGACTAAGTCAGTGGTCTTTTGCTAAGTCGCACGTATTCTTGAAATTATCACCCTCATGGAATTCAATAAGAAGGTAATACCACTGTGAAATTGGACATGTTTGTGAACCGTGCTGCAGACAAGCGGCTAATGATTGTCACTCCAACGCTTTGGTGAGCTTTAATTTCGAACCCGATTGACAAATGACAGAGCGAAGGAAATTGTTAGTTCGATTGCTTGATTGATACTTCTAATAACCTGTCGCCAGAGGACTTGCTTGTAGGGCTGCACGTCTGTTTGCTTGTTAGGGGTATTTATATGGGGGGGGGGGAGAGGTATTACTCTGGTTTTTACCTGCGGCTCAGCCAAGCAGGTCTTTAATCTATGTCTCCTTCTTCTGAGTTTTTGCAGATGACCACTTTCCCCCTTATGTTCCATTAGATCTGGATCCTAAATTCTTGTTCAGGTATTGTTCACATCTTGATAAATCTCACAGATATACTCTGTGCTGGACCTTAACATCATTCTCAGGTGAGAGTGGTATTTTCTGCTAAGAGCGTATTAGACAATGGCTAGTTACTTTGGTTAACTAGTGGAGTGTTTAAGACGTGAACCGGTTTGAGTAAACGCATCCCAAAAGACTGCAAAGGGAAGCAAGTTTCGGGGTGGGAGGAGGGGCGTGATGTGCTTCCCCCTTCTCATGGTTTGTCGTTTATCTCTTGGCATTGTTAAAGAAGTAATTTGCACATCAGCCTGGTAACCATCTGTCTTTTGTATTGTCACGTTCTCTTTTTATTGGAAGTAATCTGTAATGTTACATCTATCAGACAAATGGTCTTTGAGGACTAAATAAAATATGTCAGTCCGCCTTACTGTTACCGTTATAAGTCATGAAACAATAAGATTCCACTTCCTCCTGGAATCGTACCGCATCCACTATTAGCTTTACATCAAAGCTACGCCTGATTGACATCTCTTCTGAAAATAGCATATCGCTTAGTAAAAGCAGAAGAAAGTCAAGAAAAGGCAGAATTGTCTTCAAACACTTGGAAGATCGTCCGAGGTTACGGTTTGTTTGCAGACGAGATTTTTCCACTCAGATTACTCGTGAGCATCGCGGATTTTCCTCTCTGTTGCAAATGAATGCCGAAAGCGTCTCTGTCAATATGCGATCATACGAGGGGTGAAACAAGGTCAGCATTTTATTGACCACGCACTTAAACAGAACTTTTGTCATTTACAACCTGCTTGCGATGCGTTTTATTAGAAATTAACAGAAGATATTGACGTGTCTTTATCATCCATGTGTAATTTAGCGTTCCTTTATACGTTATTGCAGTGCCAATGGAGAATGGCAAATTCAACTTGCAAAACGGCCGTATGATATAACGTGCCAAAAACGCTGCTAGATGGCACGATTTTTACAGCTGTCATTGTGCTCTGTTTAAGAGGATGACACGGCAAATGTGGCATATTGGGTGCTTTGATATGGGGAAAGATCGTGCATCTGTCCAGATGTCATCCTGAGATAGCTCAGTTTCGATCGAAAGCTAGAACATCCTGTAATTAATTTAAGAAGCAATGACAGGGTACAAACCGATTACCGTTGAAAACTAAAAGCTCGATTGGTTTTTACTAGTCTAGCACGTAGACTTCTGGTTTCTGAGGCGTTTTTAAGCTCATTATTTCCTGTAAATGTCACGAAGAGATGTGCGTTTTACTTCCATTTTGTGGTTTAAAACTAAAATGAGATGAATCTCAATCTGTATTTCTGTAGTTTTCCGTCTTCCTCCTTTTCTGTCTTTTTTCCTTCCTTACATGTATTGTTCTTTCTTTTTTAATGGCATTTTTTTCGAAAACGAACCTCAGATATCTGAACTCGGTGTTTTTGAATCTTGTTAGAATTTGCGGGCAACCGCGAGAATCTGGTAAACACGTTGTGGCCCGAAACGCTTTAAATCGCTTAGACAAATGATAAATATTGTCGGATGCGAGCGACCCGTACAGATGGTAGGTAAGTAAAGTCGACTAAGCGATGCCAGCCGGCTATAAAATCAAAGTGAAGGCTTTGACTTGAAATTTCACAGTCCGGTGGTTTGCTGAATGCAATGGGCGTGTCATACGTGATGTGGTCAGATTCATGTTTCTCAGTCAGCGCCCCTTGTCCAAAGGAAAATAAAAATAGAAAAAAAGAATTATCCTACTACGTTTCATCTTATAAATTATAAATTGTTTGATTATTATTATTATTATTATTATATTTAATAATAATAATAATAATAATAATAATAATAATAATAATAATAATTAGAATTTCCGTCTCGATAGAAATTGATTGGAGCTTGTTGTTTCGTGATGATGCTGTTTTAGGCCATTAAGTATAATTTCTGCGGTGGAACGTTGTCTTGGTGAACTGCTATTTAGGCATTTATGAACGATGACATTTGCATGAGACAATCCATCAAATTTTTGTTAGTGATGTAGTGTTAATTGACAAGCATTCAAATATAAACGGTTTTCATGTGTTACTGATGGGTATAATAATATAATATAACGATTACAGGTTGACGAGGAGTGAATAACGAGTTGCTAAATCTCTGTTCTCAACTCGCTGATTACTCTTTATCCCATACTGGACCACAATATCCATCGGTGAAGAAAATGAATAAAACTAAGTACATATCGGAGCAGTTATACAAACCTGCAATGGTGACAGTAAGGATAATCTCTACCAGCTTTTCAGTTTCCCCAAATTAATTTCTCATTCTTGGTCTTTATTTTCACACAATCCACAAAAGTTAGGACCAAAATTTTGGTCTGAATTTGTTAAAACTGGCTCCTACACGTATTCCAAACACATCCTCTGTATATTCGGTGTGTGTGTGTGTGGATGGCGGGTCCCTGGGGGAGGGTTACGGGGAGGGGGTCATCTACATATAATGAGAAACTTGTCAGAACCCGTGTTTCCCTACATATTATAACGAAATTTTCCTCGTCTAATGTATTATATATGCCGTGTGAAACAACGCAACTTTTTTTTTTAATCTTTTTGTTACCCCCTCCTCTGGTGTGCCAGTATGTGTGCCAAAGCCTCACTCAAGCGCGCCAATCAGGAAATTACTTCCCAAGCTGCATGTTTGCCAGTGGTGGTTGAAACACAGAAAATATATATATATATCACGCTAATTGCACGTACATTTGGGGGGTCTTATTGCCTTGCAGTAATAAGGTCCGCCAGAGCGCTGCAGGTAATTGGTTGGGGAAATATACTGTGGTAGCTCAAACAATTCCCCCAGTAGGAAGTTAAACGCTTGCAAAGACCACATAGCACGTTGTGTCCAAACCAATTCAAAACCAATCAAAAAGCAAAGGGGTTATTGACTTTGTATGCTTGGTGACTACGGACTAATGGAATAACCGTTTAGAAACAAAACGAATGCAGTTGTGGGTTCACCACCAGGCATATATATTATTTGCTGCAAGACAGCACCTGTGGCCAACATGTTCAGGAATTGTTGCGAGGTTGTTTGAATGACGGCCACCCATGCTGCTTCAGCTCTTATTTCATCCACACGATTTAGAAATTTATTCGTTTTTGTCTGGGATTAGAATGGATTAATTATCGTCTGTCTATCTGCCCGATCACTCCTCAGTCCTCGTAACCATTCGTCCGTCTGTCTGTTTGTCCATCTTCATGCCCGCTTATCTGCACGTCAGTCCGTCTGTTTGTCTGTCCGTCCGTCTGACTGCTTTTCACTCGTTTTCTCGCTAAACTGTAGGTAAAACTAATGCAATAGGCCCTTTATGTAGACATACGTTCATCTGTTTGGTTAACTGTTATAAGATCTTTCTCTTCCCACTTTTCTATTTTATAGACGTATTTATGTCCATTGGGCATCTTTAACAGGCATGTTTACAAAGACACATAATTGTCTTAGTCCACACCTATTTCTTGTTAGTTCCCTTCTTCACAAGATATGTCAACAAATCTTATTTTTCCTTTCAAGATATCAGGTTCTGCGTGTGTCGCCGGGGAAACTAGGCATGAAGGTGCTCAGCGACCTGGAGCAGTATCACTCTCTAGGGGTAAGTTAACACATTTTCACTTATATCTTGAACAATTCTTTGGCCACATTCAGAACAGTGGACTTACGTAAAAGCCATTCCCTAACAGACACTGAATAGTTTCCCCGCAGGGGTCACGCAACAAGCATCAAGTGGGTCAGCCATGTTTGATGTGCGGACTAGTTAGTCCGCTGTAGTGAATGCTGCCTTTACGCATCTTTTAACCAATGAAATTTCAGACGTTTTTTTTTATTTATTTATCCATCAATTTATTTATTCGTGCCTTGGTTTTTACTAAATAATTTCTGTATTTTAATCAAACTATTTCTTATCGAAAGTATATCGTGCCACCTTAGAAAAGACCGTGTGCCGTATGTCTTTTAGACCTATATGTGTAGAAACAATCATATTTACGAACTTAATCATCAGCTGAATTTTTTGGTGGAATTTTGAAGCTAAATTTATTCCGCTTGTTTCCTCTTTTTTGGTCAACCTAATTTACATTTCACTCAACACTAACTTTATTTGGTGCATTTTCTACTAATGCAATGGTAACAATAACCATAGAGTGGCCTTTGGGCCTAGTAGAGACTAAAGGCTTAAAATACATTTCAATACCGGTTTACGGTTTCCGGTGATCGTGCAGAGACTGATATTTCTTGATTTGTGCAGTATCAAACAGCTGTGTATTTAATCCAATAAATCTAAGAAATAAAGAATAGCTCTTTGAAGGCAAAGAAGTTGATACAAGTTTCCGGCGCTTTTGATGGAATTATACGCCCCCTTGACTGAGAGTTGTACAGAAGACACTATGCGACGTCGTCTACGTCTTCCGTAAGATTACAGCGTTATTTATAGGCGCCCTAGACTTATTGGGGCATTCCCCGCGGGATCCCCTCTTCTTCTCTCCGTGCCCAGAGTTCAGACAAGTTTACTCACTGGCTTCACCTTAAACCCTTCTGTTACTATTAACACCCAGACGCGCACGTGGGGAGAATTTCGAGGCGTGCAATTGAGCAAAGTTTGGATTATTGTTAGATCAAACACGCTTCTAATAGTTGGAAAAGGTTGGGATGTCGGGTCTTGTGTTCAACACGGCTATTACATTTCATTCTGTGATATTAACCCGTGTTAGCCCCGTGTTAGCCTTCAGCCCCGTGTTTTCATAGACAACACGAGCACGGTTCTGAAGGAAATTGGATCAGTAACAGATCTCTGCGGTGATGTCTGGAATTTCGGTTCTAAACCTTCATTACCCTCTTCTGTTTCTAACTATTTTATGCAGCCTTGATTATTTAATCTTTTAAACAAAACGCCCGGGAAATGTACGCCAGATGGAGGACCACTTAACCGGGCACTTGCTGCCGGCGTTTTGTGTTGACCTGGCTGAAGGACTCTCGTACTATCGAAATGCCTGAAGGCGCGTGCCCGAAGGTGCAACATAGGCTCTGGTCTGGTCCTGCTTTGAACACGGAGGCTTGAAACACTTTAGTTTGGACCAAAATTTGATGAATTTCTCTGCAATTTACAGATAACTGTATAATAATTTTTTTTTAACAAAAGAAGAAGCCTGCTTTGTATGATAAACATCATATCAACGTCATATAAAACATGACATGTAAATTATCAACATTAAAGGGATGTCTGGTCTGAAGAGAGTGTTTTTCTCTGTCAAATCTGAAACTCTGAATCCCTAAAAGAAATGCCTTCTCTGTTGTTTAACATACAGCTACTTGGTAGTAAAGAACTACATTATTTTTTTCTAGGTATTATCAGTCAATGAATGATAATCAATATCTGTATCAATCAGCCCGTTAGTTGGTTGACCAATCTGTCAGTCGATCTGTTGATTAGTAATAGGCAATTAGCCAGTCGGTCTTTTGGTCAGTTAATCGGTCAATCGATCAGATGGTCAGTCAGACTGTCTATCAGCTGGACGGTCAGTCAGTTTGTCAGCCAACCGTCTGACAATGTATCAACCATTTTGACCGAGAACGGTTTTAATTTTCATGAAGTTTAATTCCAGATCGACTTCTGGGGTGAGCCTCTTGGGAACAAGTCTGTGGACATTTGTGTGCCCCCGGGTTCCATCCCAGTGGTGGAGAAACTCCTGAACGACACCAGTTCTCCCTATGAAGTACTCATACAGAATGTGCAGAGGTAAGCCACCCTGAGTTTCACAGAGTACTAGACTCTCATCTCAGAGAGCCACGGTGGGTTGAGCAGATCATGCAAGAAAACGTAGAGGTGTGTTCAGAACTGGGATACTTTAGACCGAAAATCGGGCCAAGTAGCAACCAAACGGCCAGTTTACAACCAAGCCTCGTTGCACCACCGAAGAATAATTCTAATTGGCTTGTATATTTTGTCCGATTTTCGGTCAAAGTGGTCTTTGTCTGAACTCAAGGCAAGCGCGTATATTTATAAGGGCATTTGTGTGTAATTGTATATGTGTGCATTTGGCATAGTTTAGAAATGATTAAAATGCCTACGAGTGCTTGTGTAAGATTATTCCTGTAATTCGCTTTATTCGCAAATGATGTGCAAAGTGTGTAGGAAAAATATTTATTTGAAATATACCCAGGTTGGCAATTCAATATTGTATTACTGCTCGTGGCAAACGTTTCATGTTTTAAATGTCAGTCGTATAAACAATTTGTAGACGATATCTGTTTTTCCTCGAATCAATGTTCATCAATTCCTGCCAACGTAAATGTGATCTAAAAAAGAATGTCACACACTAGAGAACGAACGTTACACAAAGGAGTGAAAGAAACAGAGGTGACCTCCAGTTTTTAACTACGCCCTTCTCACTTAATTGAAAAATGAGACTCCTTCTTCAGGTTCCGTTTAATACAAAAGCTGTCCTATATTTCTCTCAACTTCAAAGCAAAAAAACAAACGTAGCAGAATCCATAACAATACCGACTTTGACAGCTTAGAAAATATCACGATCTTTAGCCTAGAAAAGAATCAAGTTTCTCCCAACAGAACAAAAGGTGTCGTGACATTATAAAACAGCAGACAACGGTAAGTGTCTGTCTATTTGCAAAAAATACAATATAAATAAATGAATAGTTAAATAAATAAATAAAATGTTAAATAAACAAATGAAAGCTACAGTTAAGTAAAATGTCGTTATGTTCCATAAATATAAATCTTTTCCTTCTTCCTCACATTGCTGACTGAAATCACTGTTGCTGACTGAAATATTTTCATCCTCTTTAACAGAATCGATTTCGACGCCAAGATGTCTTTTATAAAATGCATTTTGTTTTGCATGAACACTTGGCCAATAAAAATTAACTGGACATATTCGGGAGATAAATAGTGTCTTCATAAAAAACGACCATCGCCATAAAGGGAAAGCAATAAATACAATGCAGTCGGCGGATATAGAAATTAATAAACGTGGGTAGAAAATGCCTTTTCGTCTCCACCCACTTTTTGCATTCATACACACTTATTGATAATGGCATTTGTAAAATGACTTGTAATGAAAAGGATAAAGAAGTGCGCGTACTGTATTCTGTATATGTGTCCGCTCAGACGTAGATTCAGAGCCGGATCGATTTAGGTCGAGATTAAGTCAACAGGTATGCAATTACCAGTAATTTCCTTTGGAGATTCGAAGCTCTGTGGTTTACTTTGCACAATAATTGAATGATTCACGATTTTTTCAAGTAGGAGGGGGTTGTTTTTATTTGAATCGTCTTTTGGTCCGTTTTAGACCTAAACTGGTCAGGATTTATATCTGTGTCTACACTCACCTTGTCCCGGAATCTTGATCAACAAAAGGCAGCGGAAAGCCACATTTGGATTTTGAAGTAAAAGTGACACGTTTCACAAGAAATTGTGGTTATTGCTAAAGACGATGCTATGTTAGGAGGAATTCTCTTTGATATACAAGCCACTAAATTTAGGTGGAGTCTCGATAAATCTTTAGCAACTAAATGTGCACGGTAATCAGTGAAAAAAATGTCTTCAGTCAAGTAGCAATGATATGAAATGCACTTTTCACGCATGAATATATCATTTCATTTTTTATTTCATTGATTTAGTCATTTGGTGCCAGTGAATTTTACAAGAGATTATGACCTTACATTTGTGCAGAAAGACATAATGGCTAAATGATTATACTAAATACATGTGTAGGCCTATATTAAGTCATTTGGCATCAAGATTGCTACTAATGGTTCAGTGCCGACAATTCAAATTCAGCATTGTCTGTGGAATCGTTGTTTGTAAACGGCGATGTAAGACACTATATCCAACCTTTAAAAACATCGTTCTATTGCCAACTTCAAAACATCAAACGGACATTTCAGCATTCATTATATCTGTGTTAATTTCAGGCATTGAAGAATTAATATTGTTCTTAAACTTTATCTTTTAACATTTTGCCAACAGGTGCCAATACAACCCGGCGCAGGTTCTATTAACCCCTGACCTTAGTCTTGTTTTCATTTTCAATCCAAAACCATCTTGTTTTCTCAAACATCTATCTTTGGTTGTTACACTGTCTGAAAAAATTTGAAGTGACGATTGCGAGTGACAGTGAAATAAAGCAATGCATGACTCACGCGAAGAGCAGTGATGATAGCGTAAGTGTGGCCTCGATTTCAAAAATCACTTGAAAAATTATAAAATACATCAGTTGTTGTGATGCGTACCGGTGTAACCTTGACGTCATTGCTTGCTAACTAGGATTTTCAGGGCGTAGAACCTTTCTTTAATATTGGCAATCTACGCCCTGCGTGGCAACTCTTAAATCATGCTTTTTGATATATCATTTAGTAACACTTCTTCTTCTACTTTTTCTTCTTCGTATTATTATTAAACATTATTTGTACGCCCATCCCCTTACCTCCACCCAACGCCCCAGAAGCAAATAACACAAAACGACAAAGACAAGCTGTTATTAAGTAGTAAAAATAGTAAACTTGTAAAAGACAATGTACAAATAATGATAAGAAAGTAAATAAATGAATAAATAGAATAATAACAAATAATCAAAAAATAAATAACTAAAATGAAACAAAAATGTCCAAAGCATACATGCAAAAAGACCGTTTTGTTGTCTTTTAGCCTCATAGATCGGGAAGCGGCGGAGAACGATGCGGTAGACGACAGAAAACGACGAGCGACTGCAGATGGGTCGAGAGTGAATACTGCTGACAAGTATCTTCGGTATGGGGAGGTGAGTACTGCTGCCTTTCATAAGGTGCACTGATTAGAAAGTTAAGATGAAAATTAGAGGGCTGTCACTGGTTCCTTGAATGTTTTAAAAGAAAAAGAAAAGGAAGGGAAACTGGTGTAATGCCGTGCCACAAGTTATCCCGTGTTCTATCATTTGGAATGTTATTTAAAAGAGAAATGCGTTATTTGGTTATGACAAAGTGGTTTCTTTAAACTAAAGTTAATCGTGGACTTATCGATTAAAAATAAAGACCATGGCACAGATTGTGTATAACGTGTTTCAGGGATCAATTATATACCCCTCTGTTGGCATCCGTAGCACAAACTGGAATTAAAAGAAAAAATGTCATACATATTTTCAAATGAGTTATTCCATTTTCACTGTCACCCTGTATAATATGGCATTTGTAATTCGTTTGAGGAAAAACTATTGTCTTCGTTTACAGATTAACGACTGGCTTCAAAACGTGGCCAATCTCTACCCTCATCTTGCCAAGCTGATTACCATTGGTGCGTCATACGAGCTTCGGCCAATGAAGGTCCTCAAGGTAATATCTATTGGGCATGATATTATGGTTCTAATGAGATGTTTAACTGCCCATCACGTGATAATATGCAACCCACTTGACAGTACTGAGTAAAATTTCTTCATGGATCCATCTCCTATGCCAATAATTAGTTACCGAAAGGCAAAAAATATCATTTGTTCAACGGCAATTTTGCGGGGAAAAACAGAACAAATCATATCAGTAAACAATTAACTTTGATAAAACCGCCATTTTATTTACTACATTTATGCCTTCGTTTTATCATCAGCTATAGTTTATATGCTTTTCTTACTTACTGCAGCTGGGCAAACCCAAGGCTCACACACCCTACAAACCTTCAATCTGGATAGATGCGGGAATCCACGGGCGGGAATGGATTGGGCCATCAACCGTGCTTTACATCATTCACCAGGTACGTCCGCGTCATCAGTTTTGCACATGCTTTGCTTACGTCACAGAAATTGTTGTGTACGTCATAAAGTGATTAACTTCTAAACGTTCCTTTCTCACGGATTTGAGCAGTATTTCAGATAATATTTTTTAGATCAATTGTAAGACACTTTCAATGTACAAATTAATATAACGGCAATTGATCTTGACACAGAAATAGAAATGTTCACCGTAGTCGTTCACTTACTCGCTGTAATCGAACCTCGTTTCTTTGACCGGGTTTCCATACTTAGATCGATCTAACAGGATCGATCCATCTCCAAGGGGTTTCTCGCTAAATTGCTATCAGCATAAGCGGCTTAGATGTCTGGCACGCCTACTGAAGCTGCTAAGCGATAATTAATTACCCCTAGCAGCTTCAGTAGGCTGCTTAAGTTGATAGCAATTTAGCGAGAAATCACTTGGAGATAGAGCGATCCAAAGTTAGTACGATAGGGTCTGGGATGGTCCCTTTAATGCAAGAAAATAGTTGAGTTTAAAAAGACCACTTTGATTTACTAAGAGATATATGCTTATATATTCCCTTTGCCATTTCAATTAAATTAGTTGATATCAGAGCAAAGTCGTGACCCAATGGTAAGCTTTCTGATGGATGAATTTGATTGGTACTTCCTGCCTGTCGTCAATCCAGATGGTTATGAATATTCGCACACCCGGGTATGTACAAATATAGTTACTGACTTCTTCTTTAAGAAACTAAGGTTATTTAAAACGTAGCGGATGTAATGAATTCTCACACGTCGTCAACACAGGTGTTTATGAATACATCCATACCCAAACAGGTTTGTTTTCGATTATTAACAGTATTTGCTTTAAAACATCTGGTTCCCGCTGTACATGTAATCATTTTCAGAGTGTTGTCAATACAGATGGTTCGAAACATTGGCTTTCTATGAAAACTTTCACTTTCAGTTTCAAGACTTTGTCATCAACAGGAGCACACATCGAATTATTGAATATTAAAAAAAAAAAAAGAAAGAAAGAAATAACCATTTATTATAAAGGTGCATTTCAGATTTCATCAGCAGCACAACTGGCATTTTCCTCACCCTTTTAAAACAAAATGTCGCTCCAGAAGCCATAGAGCACATTTTGTATGTCACGTGATCAAATGTCAGATTGATATGCAAAGACTGCATATAAAATCCCCAATAACAAAGATTCATGAAAAAACGACTTTTGCAAGTACATGTAGGTTTATTCTAAGGTTATATTTGCATTGAGTGATAAACTTAAACACACCTTAAGAGATTGCCAACCTTATAGACTTGCTGTTACGTAATAGAGGTCTCAAAACGGAGAATCCTCAATTGACAAAGTCAATCAATAAAAGGGATAACAACTGTTCATTTTTGCCAAAAATGAAATTTTCTGGGGTAAACAGCAATTTTCCCATACTTACCAATGGTTAATGAATCCATGTCTACATTCAAAGTTAGTCCCTGTTTTTTTTTTTTTTTTTTTGTTTTTTTTTTCTAAAATGTTTTTTTTTTTTTTTTTTTTTTGTAATAATCTCAAAGTATAGCCATCAATGGAGGTCATGGGGTCTGATGGCAAGCACATATTTTAGATTTATTGCTACAATTGCCGTTTTTATGGTAAAAAAAATATATTATATAATTTATATTTCTATGAGTTGTTAACAATGTATTTATTGTGAAATATAATTTCATACGAAGAGTTGTTATCCCTTTAAACATATTTGAGTATTGGAAAAAACTAATCAAATCAATATTATATTTTAAAGACACACAGAAGGGTTTCTTGCTTTAACTTACTGGAAAAAGATTGATGGAATTGACTATTTTTTAGCTTGTGACAGTGATGAAATGACTAAGAACATTTAATTTTTCTAAGAACATGTTTAATGTTTTTCTCTAGATAAGTATGATTCTCTCTCTCTCTCTCTCTCTCTCATTCTCTCATTCTCTCTCTCTCTCTCTCTCTCTCTCTCTCGAAGAGTTGTTATCCCTAACAACAGATATCGCGCCTGTGGAGAACTTGTATGGCTGAAGTCTATCTCACGGTGAAACGGGCCACCGATACTGTGATATTGTCGGTTCACGACACTTCGGTAATGTTGGCGAATGCTATTTGTTTGTTTTTTACACCACGCATTTTGGCACAGCAGGGTAATAAATTCTTGCTTGTCATCAAAACAGATGCTTACGAATGCATTCACAGCCGAGCAGATAAAATATGCGTTCCAACATTATAGCTGAGAGTAAAAATCGCTGATGTTTTGTGTTGCAGGTGTTTTATGATGCAGGCCAACATATTAATTAAATTAATTAATGAGCATGCTGTGTGTTTGTGTGTGTGTCATAGCGAGAGAGAGAGAGAGGGAGAGAGAGAGAGAGAGAGAGAGAGAGAGAGAGTCTTTTTCTGACTTTAACACGTGAGAAGAACGAGATACGACTTTGCAGATTTTATATAGGCTGTATATGAAAGGCTCGGCGTACTGCCTCTGTACTCTGTCGATACATCGCACGATGGTTCGCCGCCTTCTTTGGACTTGTAGATGCACAGTACGTGACACCATCTCGAATTTACGCTGTAGAAAATATGCTGTGCTCCTGATTGGGGCTTAATGAAGAACCGGAATTGAGCGTTGAAATTTGAACGCCATTTTAACCCCTTAATAGTGTAACAACAATGATAAACCGAATGGTGTTTTCTAAAACGTCTTTAACAAATTCAACACATACCTTGTGTCCCTAAATGATTTTTTCCTAAATGATGGTTGGTTGAACATATACAAGTGCCATAGGTCATTTTAGGCCGTCTCTCTTCCATTTGTTCCGTTTACATTACACACGTACACAGTACGCAAATGGACGTGACAATGAATTTGAATTGAATTTGAAAATTAAGAGCATGATCATGTTAAAATCGGAGATCACCGAGAGCAATGTTCCCAACTCATTTATCAGAGAACACATTTTAACTTTAGAATGTAGAGGTCTGCCAAGAGAGAGAGAGAGAGAGAGAGAGAGAGAGTAGAACATTCATTACAGAAATGACTTAAATATGGATACTTTGTTTTCAGGATCGCCTTTGGAGAAAGACTCGCAGCCGATACTACCGCAACTCCAACTGCATTGGAGTGGACGCCAACAGGAACTTTGACTTTTCTTGGGGAAGTAAGTAGAAATGGGTCTTTGCTCTTTGCTTGTTTCTTCGTCCGGCAATAGTGCTAGTTTTAATGCACAGACGCATGTTAAAACAACGACCGCCTGCTGAGTCGTAAGTTAAACCAGAAACTTCGGCACTTTGTTATGCTTTGTTGAAACTTATTTCCGTGTCTTTACCTTGAAATTCAATTGGAACTACACCATTAAAACATTGGCGCATTTCTGGTAAATGTCTACACTGTGTCTGAAACATGATTTACCTTGTAATTGAATGTAGCCGCCTTTAGAACTTGCTTCAAGGTGTTTCCTTGTAATAATTCCCCGAATGTAAAACCTGGTTCAAGTTTATTTAAGCTATTTTTATATCTCTGAATTTATGAATTTTTTTTAATTTAAAATCAGACTAAGTGTGGATTTTACTGTACTTTGGATAAACTGATTGTCTCTCCTTAATCAATTGGGAACAGTATAAGTACAGGTATGGCATCGTAGAAAAAGAATCTTACCTATTGTCGGCTGTACATGTAGTTTTTATTCTTCCGTCAAGAAAACAGCGGTGTTGTTTTGCTCAAATTATAGAATACAAACGTAAAATTCTCTTATCGATTGCCATGAAAGGACAACTGGCAATTATTACCTTTGCATTTCAGAGTGTGCCGACGATACGCTGTTCTCTCGCTGCTCAAGCACCGACCCGTGCGAGAACACGTACCAGGGCCCGCACGCGTTCTCCGAGGCCGAAACCAAAGCTATGGGGAAATTTATCTACCTCAGAAGAAATTTGTTCAAGTTGTATCTGTCATTCCACTCATACTCACAGCTCTGGTTGACGAATTGGGGTCATACACAGGACTCGCCACCCGATAGTAACGACATAGTAAGTATTACGCCATTTACTCTCGGTAATGACATGGGAAATATTGCGATATCTTCTCCTGGCAACAGCATTTTTGGTTCATGTATTACTTCACATTCTCTTTTAGCAACGCCATTGTATGCATTAAGCCTATGAAATGTGTTGTCAAGTCATCATTTTCTGTCAATCCTGAACTTTTTAAGTTTTAATTATATGCAACAGGGGAATTGTAGTAAGTAAGAAATACAGAAAACATTGGTTGTATGTCATTCCAGATGTCTCTGGCTCGCTATGGTGCGGACATGCTGAAGAAGAAACATGGTACTACTTTCAAAGTTGGGTCTCCAGCCTCCATTTTATGTAAGTAGAGACATCACTTCATCTCTTAGGCAAGGGATCAAGCTAATGTTATATTCTGAAGGCAAAGTTCAGAGTTTGCTTTAAGAGAATTCCAGTTTTATGTTTTAAAACCATGCCTATCCACGTTAATGTATACGACAAAGATATATTTCAAATGAAAAAATATCAGTTAAAGCAAATATAAGATCTGTATGTTTGCTGCAAGAAATTCTGTCAGTGGGTGTTCTCCTCCCCCCCCCCCCTTTAACTAACTGCCAATCTATCATTGTTTGTTTGTTGCAGATTCCGCAGCCGGAGCATCATTTGACTGGGCAAAGGGTGTGGCTAAGATCAAGTACGCCTACACCTTAGAACTGAGAGACACCGGGAGATTCGGGTTCATATTACCTCCCAACCAAATTCTGCCTGTGGGCGAGGAAGTTTGGGGAGCAGTCAAGTCAATAGCAGCCAGAATTTACCACGAAGTGCGAGACGCTAAGGACATGTTTTACACGGTCTAAACATGACGTCACTGAATGTAGTGACGTCATTCATTGAGGTGACGTCAGGCATGCGTCAGTATGTAGAAATGTATTTTAGATAATTCAAGACACAAAGCCAGTGAGAACATACACACTTTGGATGTTATTCACAGTCTGCAAATGTCTGTTCTTCGGGTATAAATGTGATTTCGTTTTCTTACCACGACGCAGTTCGAATTGCTAAGACAAACATTTTCTATTGATTGGAAACGGTAAACGTAAGGTTGTAAGTCTAAATTCATCTTAGTTGTTACATTATTTATTGTCATTTTTCTGTCATCAGCAGTTAATATTTAGAAAATAAAGCATTGTCTTAGTGTTAGTTGATATAATTTTAGGGGTAAACTAGGTGCGGCCAGTAGTTGAAGTACATGGAGTCTTTTTAGACAATAGCATAGATTTCGTTTTGTCTATGCCGTTAAAATACCGTTTCTCCATTTGTTTGTTGTCTCAGTTAGCGTTTAGTGAATTCTCAAATATATCTTTGGAAACAGTTTTTAGCAGTACGTGTTCATTACAGGATATTTCAGTTTCAAATCTTCAATTAAAGAGGTGAGGTGTGTAGGTGACTACCACTGGGGCCTTTCAGAGGGCTGCTGAAACCGCTTCCGAAGCGTCCAAATTAGCAACTTGTAAACTAGTTCTGTCAAATATTTTGTGATGCGTGAGTTTTGTCAATGTAAGTTGCCTTATGCGGAAACGCACCTCGTTTTTTCACTAATCTCTGAAACCCAGGGAGTATTCAACGCACCTCAAAGAAATCCATGGTATTTTAAAAGCAGTTACACCCATTTAAAAATACTGAGAAGAGATAGATTAATAATTTGGTGTTTTTTAAGTTTGGTAACCTCCAGATTGAATGTGATGTTTGGAAATGAAAAAAGCAAATGGCCATTTTGGTGAACTGGATGGATTATATACTTATATTTTGATTGAATGAAAAACTGCTAGACTGTTACCTCAAAGACCAAGATGAAACAGTATGGGAAGTTTTAAGACTGTTTTATGTTGTATGATATCATAGGCAGCTATGTTTATATCCAGGTACCGTTCGTGGCCCACACCACTGTATTTGCTGTCTTTCTTCATTTAATTTTATTTTAGATAACCTGTGCTTTTCTCTAATTTATGCTAACTTTAAGTGAATGTGTAAGCAAGTAATGCATGGCAAACAGGAATTAAACGAAATGCATTGACTTTGTACATTCTGAATTACTGGTGCGATTTAAAGCGCTTTTCATAATAAGTGCCAGTAAAAGATCGAAAACATCAGATATCTTACTTTTTTTCCGCCAAAATTCCACGAACGGTTCCTTTATTGATGACGTCATTTCCCAATAAAGCAAGATATGTGTAAATGATATGAAGACATATTTGAACTTTACTTTCTAATGAGGGAAATTCAAGATTAACACACCTGCAAGCATACAATGCGCGTTAGACCTCAATATGTTGAAAATTTTAATTTCTTGGAAATGCAACACTTTCCCTTAGATTATAATTAAAGCAACACCTCCTATGATGATAGAATTGCACTACTGATATTAAATATTAGGAATTTTGAACTCGAAAACTTGTTTATACTCTAGATAGTGGTTGCCTCAATGCTTTTAGATAGTAAATACCTTGACGAATTGAGGATAATTAAAGTGCTAAAAATTCCAGAAAAATAAATTTTTTAATTTGCTTAGATCTAACATTCATAGGGTGTCCTTAAAGCGTTAAAATGCTTGCGGAGCCACACCAGTATTACGATAAGTGGTGTTTGGCAGCCTGTGCTTTTTCCACTGTCAAAACGACCCGACCCCCGGAGTTGAAACGTTATATGTATGGCGCATTTTCCACAGTTGGTATTTCGTGTTTTGATTCTGGAGTAGTATATTGAATTCCAAGCCGTTCTATAGCTGACCATAATTTAGTCCTTGTAAATAATCTGGCAAGAGTAAGGATAATAAATGGCTGTTAAAAATGTGCAAGCTTTCAATGAAGGTTGTTTGTCTTCTTACTCAAGGTTAAACTACGAAATATTTTAATGTCACCGAAGAAAAAAATTTCGACTTTTTAGCAAACTCGAATTCATTCATTTTATCATTGTTTCTTCTCATAAAATTAGCATGAGTATATATTCATTTAAATCGGCGTTAAAGAAACAGAGTAGTAAATATTCTAAGCTTCGACATTTTAAAGTTGAAATCGCGCTATAAGATCTACAAAGCGATGGTGGTGCTGGGGAGGGAGGGGATTGGAGGCTCAAGGATGAAAAAATGAGTCATTTTGCTCGACAGATATATAATGAAGGCAGCTTTATTATTAAACGAAGGACAAAGGAACGGAAATGACTTGTTTGCTAGTGAATTCTCTTATTATTATTATTATTATTTTTTTTTTTGGGGGGGGGGATACCCCTTAAGCTAAGGACTTACCCGTGTCGCTATCCCCTCCAATGAAATTATTGGTTAGTTAGCGAAAGGAGACTTTCTGAGCAGGAAAGGAACAGTTTGGTCACACTACTTCGTGGTTTTCTCATCCGGGTGAAATTGAAACATGATACAAAATGGCATTATGGCCTGTATGATTACGAAGAGCTGGTATGTGTGGTCGAGTATCTAGATGCTTACTGGTTTAGTCATTCATCTGACTATTAAGATTAAGTTCACAATTGCTTTCATCTTGTGTGTGAAATTCTCCTAGTTAGCTGCATTGTGGTGGTGCAGATTCAAGATTTATGGGTCACCGCTAACGCAATGACATTTTTTTTTTTTGACGAGTAAATTCGGATCATACACCAACCAATAACGCATTAAATCAAACTGTTAAAATTATTCTTTTCAATGAATAAGTACAATATTAGCAACTGCTGACGCCAGGCACTATCGAAATAGAGTGAATGAATATTTCGATCTTCACGGGTCCGTGGGGGGGGGGGGGTATTTTTCCTTCAAAAAAGAAAAATGAATTAACGAGAATTAGTTTTCGTTTTTTCACTATGATATATAAAAAACAAATAACAACAGATTTCCAGACGTGATAGGAAGCAAAATATCCACCCTTCTTCAATACCAAGAGAGTGAAATATATTACAATACACGTCATTTTCTCCTGCTGTGAAGAAATTAGAGAATAGAAAAATGTTTTTTCTCGTTTGAGTTTCAATGGAAAAGTCAGTTCGTTTTTCTCATTTTCATGTAGAAAATTTCTAATTATAACTAGTCACAAACTTTCGAATAAGCAGAAAAACGTGTGCTTCGCTAAATAAGAGTAAGACTGATTATAACTTTTACCAAATCAAGGATGAGAACAAAGAGAAAATGCTTTATTTTTTAATCGTGTCATTGCAGCTCATGGTAGGCCTATATTATCCACAATCCAACGGATTTAAAATAACAACAACAAAAATATAATAATTAAAGCTCCCTTTACACTGGACGGCGTCCTTTCTGTGTCACGTAGTACGGCCCGCTTGAGAGTGAAAGAAAATAATACTTTACGTGCCGACAATTTTCGTTTTCCATTCTCTTTTTCAAAGAAAAAAAACAAATTTCCAGGTTTATTTTTCATTTCATTTTGGCCATTTGTAGCAAATAAAAAGGAAAAACGGACGTTTTATTTATTTTTTTCTGACGAAAAGGAATCATAAGCCCCTCTCACACACACACACACGAACCATTTCGCCACCGAACCCCAGTGCATGCACGTGATAAAAATGTTTATGTCATTTTGTTTTTATTAAAATATTCAGATAAAAACTACAGCTGTCCGACTCTGAGAGCAATAATGGACGCCAATGCGAATAATTTTTCCGTTTTGCAAAATGAAATTTGATGAATAAAGCAGATTGCAACCAGTCAGTTGATAAAGGTACAAGTGCTAGAAAACTACAGCATATCTAAAGCGTACATGGAGTCGGTCCATGATGATCAAACCAATGACCCAGAAACGTGCAAATCTGTATCTATAGATCATAGATAAAATATACAGGGACAATAGCCTATTACTGCGCGTATATATGTACAGAAAGCTTGTGTACTGAACCATGTCAAGACTACTGTTTTGCATAGTTGTGCATCCTCTCCAACAAAACCCTGGACCCGACAGCGAAAACCGTTACTAATATCGAATATGTTTAAAAAAGTTCCCTGGCACTTTCTGTTCAACCACGAAAGGCATGTGCATGTACAGTGTAAATTGGCAATGCCCAGCATGACACTGTCACAGAGATGAGACTTGACTAGCAACGTTCTTGGTGCCATCCAAATTGGAAGAAAGTTCACTGTCTATAACACCCTCAATCCATAGTTGATTGCTTGGAAGATGAGAACTTTCAAGATATTGCATTATTCTCTTGAAGAAGCTTTTAAATTGTTCTTACATTTTCTCCCAGCAAAGTTAACAAGCACACGCTTTCTTATTTTCAGATGGCACACCTTCATTTAACTCGGCACCCAGTCGTATTCTGCTTATCTCGCGTCTCTTCTGGTCCAATTCGTCGCGCAAAACCCGCGCAACGTCATCAAACATTTCCTCCACACCCGCCCCTGTTTTGGCTGATACTTGGTAAACACCGCCAACGACCTCGTCCCCGCACTGCGCTTTGAAAATCTCGATATCGTCCTCAGTCACAAGAGAGTGCGGGTCGTGATCTCGCGAGATCTCGTCCACTTTGGTCCCACAGATGAAGAGTTTGGAGACGCTGCAGTACATGGCCACCTCCAGCATGGACTGTGACAGACAGTTAAAGGACTCTGGGTCCGTCAGACTGAAGCACAGGATAACCCCGTCTGCTTGCCGGTAGTACCCTCCCGTGAGGGAAGCCCGCTCCATGCCTCCTGTGTCCCACATTGTTACCTGAAAGATA